CAAACCCACAATGAAATATCACTTCACACCATTAGAATGGCTACTATCAAAAAAGGGGGGGGGCACTTGAACAGATATTTGCATACCCACGTTCATAGCAGCATTATTCACAATGACCAAGAGGTGGAAGCAACCCAAATGTCCATCGACAGATGAATACATAAACAAAATGTGCAATATATATACAATGGAATAGTATTTGGCCTTAAGAAGGAAAGAAAATCCTGTCCTATGCTACAACATGGATGAACTTTAAGGACACTATGCTAAATGAAATAAGCCAGTCACAAAAAGACAAATACGGTATGATTGCACTTATATGAAGTATCTAACATAGTTAAATTCATAGAAACAGAAAGTGTGGTGATTCCCAGGGCTGAGGAAAGAGGGAAATGGGGAGTTGTTGTTTAATGGGTACTGAAGTTCAGCTTTGCATAATGAGAAAGTTTTGGAGATTTGGTGCACAACAATGTGAATGTACTTAACACTACTGAAAGGTACACTTGAAAATGGTTAAGATGGTAAATTTTGTTATGTTTTTAATACAACTTTGTAAATGTTGGTTACACTTCTCTACACCAGAAATAGCTGCTTTGAAAATAAAATTACAATAATATAACCAATCACAATGACAGCAAAGTCCATAAAATTTCGAAGAAGTAACTGAGCATACAAGGACCCGATATGAAAAAGTAAATTTTAAAAAGCATAATAAAGAGCAAACAAGTCGATCTGAATATATGGGGAGATACCCTCTGTTTTTGCATTGGATGACTGATATTTTTAAAAAGCCAATTATCCCCAAACTGCTCAATAAATTCAGGATAACCTCAATCACAGTTCTAGTTTAATTTTGAGGAACTTGAAAACCTTACAGTAAGATATATCAGAAAAAATAAAGATCCACAGTTACATAAACCTTGGCCTAGGGCAGGGAAGACTAGAAATGAGTATTTTCTCAGGTCCCCGAGCAGTAATATTAGTCTTCTATTATTACTGAGGTCTTGTCCCTGCCTGAGGCCTGAGGCCGAAGCCAAGGTTTTGCATCTTTCTACCCCTACCACCACCCCACTGCCACAACTTTGGTTTCTTTCCTTCAAGTCAAGTCAATGTGCCAGTTGTCCTACACCTGTCCTTCTAAAGATCCACATTTCTCCAAGCCAAGGTCTGTCCCAAGCGCTGGCATGTAGGACATCACAGTTTCCAGAGCTCCGTGGCTTCCCTTTGCTTTCAGCCTCGCTCTGAGAGCAGAGGGAGGCAGAGAGCAAGGTCAGGTTTTAACTCCTTTAGCCCCCTCTCAAGGTCACCTTAGACTGGCTGTGTTCCTTGACTGAAGGGCACTGTTGCCAGCAAGGTAGTGACACTGAATCCTGATAACCCCTCTAATCTCTTGCCTTTTTGGACTTTGGGGTAGTGACAGGTCAGCTGCTACCTCCAGTTTATACTGCACTACCCTCTACCTACTTCTTTGTAAATACTTCTTTGTAAGTAGACTCTCCTTGAACTATCTTATTCAGAGTGTGCCATTTGTTTTCTGTTGACGCTCTGGGATAATGAAAGTCATTTCTTTCTTCATTCCCTGCCTCTGACCAGCCTGGCCAAGGGCTCATTTGCAATGGAAAAGTGCAAGAGAAAGGTTCCAGAGAGCAGGTCTAGTCTCCCACTGGGGAGCAATCCTTTTGGGTTTGGGGCCTTTCCGCTTTCTGTAGCCCTTGGGGATTGGTGTGGCAAAAGTAATTTTCCTAAATAAACATTGAGATCAGATACCAATCTTTTTCTGGCCTTTTCACATGACTATGTACATGAATAAGGAGACAAAGAGAATCTGGAATGCAAGTGCATACTGTCACTCAGGAAAAAAGCACTGAGGATACACCCTCCCATGGTGTGCTTGAGCTTTATTCCCATTGCCTTTATTTTATTTTTTTTAATTTGAGTATAGTTGACACACAATGTTGCATTTGTTTCAGGTGTATAACATAGTGATTGAACTCCTCTATAAGTTATGCTGCGCTCACCACAAGTGTAGCTACCATCTGTCACCACACAACGTTATTACAATATCATTGACTATATTCCTCATGCTGTGTCTTTGATTCTCATGACTCAATCACTCCATAACTGGAAGCCTGTATCTCCCACTCCCTTTCACCCATGTTGCCCAGCCCCCCAGCCCCGCCCCTCTAGCACCCATCAGTCTGTTCTCTTGTATAGATAGGTCTGATTAAGCTTTTTTTTTTTTTATTCATGCGTTGAGGCTTTTTTTTAGATCCCACATATGATTGAAATTATATCAAAAGAAGAACCTCAAACTTGAGGTCAACACAGTTCTCTGAAGTATTGCTATCTGCCCCAAGGGTTGAAGGGACTCCCTGCATTGTGCACGCCCTCATGAACACTTTTATGGGTGGAGAGTGGGACTAGATGACCTTAAAAGTCAATTCCAACTCCCAAGTTCAGCTTTTAAAATGATCTAGACATTGAGAGAACCATGTATTATACCACCTGGATTAGATATAACCCAATAGCCCAACTACCTCTCTCCCCCCTCTCTCCCTCTGTCCCGGTCTCTGTCTCTCTCATACACACACTCCTCTTTTTGGTATTTGATTATGTTTAACATTCTACTCTCCTCACACAGCCCCAGAGCTGGCCTACCATTACCCTACTTCTACTTTCTATCCAAGCACCACTCATTCTCCCATGTAAGGACATGTAGTTCCTCCCTTTTCTCCCTAATCTGGCTTCTTGGATCCCAGGAGATCTACCCAACACTTTTTCCTACTCCTTATCTGGAAGGGGACAGCTTTCCAAACAAAAACACACCAAGTTAGGGCAGAGGGAAGCCTGCCAGGAACCTCCAGAGGAGGACTGGAAGCTATCCAATTAGCTGACTCTCTCCTTCCTTCCCCTGGGGTCCTGTCACTTTGATTCCCACTGCTGTGACCAGACCCAGACCCTTTGGATATGCAGCTTCTTCAAAATCAGCCAGGCATAGATACCACCCAAAGCCCTACACAGACCAGACTAGCATTTCAAAAGGAATTTGCTTTGTCAAACAAACAAAAACAAAAACCATGAATGGAAAAACGAAAATGAAACCACATACAACTTTAAACAGCAAGTTTTTAAATCAAGTCAAGCAGAGATGGAAGATTATTTACATGATACACAAGCTCATCCATTACATGCTATATATAAATGCAAAAAAAGGGCAATACAAATCTGATAAAATTCCTAGAGATTAATTTCTGAGCCTACATTTGCCAATTAGCACAGTGCACAGCACTTCCCTCTTCCAACCTTATATGGCCTTGCTCAGAGAATAATCATTTTGGTTTTTTTGTTTTTTTTAATATTTTTATTTATTATTATTTTTTAATTTTTATTTATTTATAGTCACACAGAGAGAGAGAGAGAGGCAGAGACACAGGCAGAGGGAGAAGCAGGCTCCATGCACCGGGAGCCCGACGTGGGACTCGATCACGGGTCTCCAGGATCACACCCTGGGCCAAAGGCAGGCGCCAAACCGCTGCGCCACCCAGGGATCCCCGAGAATAATCATTTTGAATTCATGAGGACTCTCCCCTCCCAGCAAACTCTTTCCAGAACAAATGCTCTGATCACAAGGTTTCTTCTGGGGAAGACCATGGATGTAAAGGAGATCAATTCACTGGTTGTACAAACCCTGAGAACCTACTTTGGACTTAAAGTCTGTAAGAACTTCCTGTCTGTAAGTCTATAAGTCTGTAAGTGCTTCCCCCATTCTTCTGTAGGTACCCATCAGCACAGAAACTGTCCAAGGATGGATAGTTTCTAGCCCCCATGACCACTCCTCACACACACACACACACACACACACACACACACACACACACTCATTGATACCAGCACATAAGAAGGTTCTGTAGTCTTGTCTCTTCCCCCAGCTCACCAGAGTCTGACCTTGAGTATTCCTACATAGCTACCCACATGCAAATGTACATCAGTGACCCCTCGTTCTCCCTCCACAATATTCCATTAGGCTAAGGTGCTTCAGTACTTGTCTTTACTTCTGGTTTCTCTTCCTTGCCTGAAGTCTCCTGTCCAACTGGGATTCCAAAAACAATGCCACGCCCCAGCTTTCTGTGTCCAGCAGGTGTCGCCCCTCACTGGAAACAAAATGCACCTCTCTTCTACAGTGCAAAATTTGTACCCCAACAGTGGACATCCCTTGGATTAGGGGTAAAAGGGAATGAAAGCATGGCTCTGAAGAGTGGCGTGCTCACTAGAATAAGGCCATCTACTTACTTCCAGTTAAGGTAGACAAATATCCTATATAGAGAATTTGTTCTTTGATCTTGGACAAGTTTTTTACCTCTGAACCTTGCTTTCTTCATCTGTGACATGGAAGGAGACAATCTTTTCCTCTTGGCGTTATTGGAAGAAGTAAATGAGATACAAATACAAAGCCTTAGCCCAGCACCTAGGTCATGATAAGCACTTGAGCTATGGGCTCTTCCCCATTTAGGGTATGGAAGAAATAACTGCCCAGAACTCCCATCCCAAGTTAAGCTCTGCCCTTTGAGTCCTATTGAGGATCTGTGTCAGGGTTGTGATGAGGATCAACGAAATAATGCACATAAGGCACTTGGTCCAATGCGTGGCCCAGAAAGTTGAGTAAGAGTTAATAACTACCATCACTACTGTGGGCTCAGTGTGTGCCAGCAACACTCTTAGCCATCTGTGAGTATGAACGCAGTCAATCCTCCTAAGACCCCTTATGGGGCAAGTAAACTGTTAGCTCCCTGCCTCTCCCTTATCCTGTGACTCCATCCAACCACAGTTTAATTTCTTCTTATGAGTTACAGATCAGAAGACTGCCCCTAATTCTGTCATGTCTAGAGGGAATAATTAGGAGGAGGTACTGACTCCTCCAGTCAAGTAGGAGAGAATTAACCCCAACCCATAACTCTGCTCATGGGCCTTCCCCAGGGCCTCAGGAAAAAGCATAGAAAAACAACATTTCCACTGGAGTTTATTCCTCAGAGATGATCACCAGTGACTCACTGGCTCCTGTGGCACAGTGTGGCCCCCGGAAGGGCCTTTAACCTCCCTCCCCAGATGATATTTGACCCAGAGATACAGCCTTGGACAATAACTTGATTACAGAATATTCCCAGCAGTGAGTTCCCCCCAACTTGCTAAGGTCTACATGGGATGGGCTGGGAAGTTCAAAGATCTGGATGGAGAAACCATAGGATCCAAGAAAATCTATAGGGTCTGAGGATGTTGGGGGGACATGGCAACATCATTAAGAGTTTGAATCTCCTCACTGGGGTAGAAGTTGTAGGATTCTGCCTCTAGGAGACATGTTGACCTGCAAAAGAAATAGAAAGGAGATAATGAGGCTTCAAACCAACTTGACCCCATCATCTGTCTCTATAACCATCCATGCAAGCCATACAATGGTATCAAAAATTCTAGATCACCAAGGAGCCACTTTCTATCGTCTCCCCATAGATGCTCAATCAGAAGAAAGGGGTGTAGGTGCTACTCTTCCCTGCCCCTAATACCAACAATGGCAATTTAAATTATGCTCTTGGCTACATCCTGGTGGAACCTCACTCCTACTATAAGCACCATTAGCTGAGCCCAACACAGACTCCTGAGATCTCTCACTCCTCCAAAGGACCAATAGGCAAATGGACCAAGAGAGATGTTACCTTCTGGATAACTGGTTCCAGGGAGAAAAACATAGCCTAGGAAAAGAAAATGTTTGATTAGAGGACAGTGGATAAAAGTGCCTGGCATCACTCACAGCAAATGAGGTAGCAATGGGAGAACCATTCACCAACAGAAAGTGAGCAGAAACTAGGAGCAAGATTGGCAACAGGAGATTAGGGGTGGCACTCACCAGAGGAGCCAGCTCTCCGCCAGCTGAGCAAACCAAGAGAGAAGATGATGAAGCCCAGGCCCAGAGTCACTCCAGATACAGAAACCTTCACTATCTGCGTTGGGGACAGCCCAGGTGCTGCAAAAATAGAAACTTACTAGAACCAATCTGTTGCTCATTGCCAGAGAAACTTAATTTAGTACAACCTCCACCTAGCAGGTGCAAAGGTGTTTTAGCCTAATACCAAGGGTCTAGCTCACACCAACCTACTCCCAAGGAAACAGACTTTCTTCAACATCCCCATCCTGTAGCTCTCTACTCCTAGCGTAGCACTGGGGGACCCCTCTCACCAGAGTTGGCACCCTACCTTCCAGGTCCTCTCTAATACAGTGGGACCTCTCAAGGCATCTTTTTTCCTTTCTTCACCCTGAAGTTCCTTCACCAAAGAATAAAGGACTCCTCATTCCCCTTTCCATTTACCCCATAGTGACAATTTCTGCTCCCTAATGTGCTCTACCTGAATATTTGTCTATTAAAATGTCTTTCCACCTTTCTTAACTCTCAATGATCCCATTCATGAGTTATCTGAATACTGATGAATCTTTTCCTGTCCACATCAAGATTTCCGGAACCTGGCTCCATCCCACTCCATAGCTCCCACCTCCTGAAACCCATTGTACTCTGAATCCCACACCACCTGGATTCCTTTCCCATGCTAAAATAAATATTCCATCACCAAGGGAAACTCTGGTGCATGATGAGAAGACTCCCAGGAGAGTTCAGGTGTGCTTGTGGGTTCCTCTCTCTGCTCTTCATGCCCTTCTCAGCTGCCCAGCAAGACAACACTCCCCAAAGGGGGAGTCCAGTCTCAATAGCCAGGCTGGGATTCTGTTCTCTAGCCCTCCAGAGATATCCCTCTTCATTTCTTCCCCTTCTCTTTCCCTATATATGTGTACCAAATCTCTTAGTACGTTTAACTACTTCCAGTCCTGGGGTTCAAACAGTGCTCATTGATTCCTTGTTCATTAGCCTCCAAGCATGTAAACCAAAGTGTTTGCCAGCCATGGTTTTTACTTCCCTAACAGAGTAGCCCAAATTCAGTACCACCCCCACACCAAGGTAAAGTCCTGTTTCTTCTGAAACCTTTTTTATTCCTTCAATTCCCATTACTGATCAGACAACACAATAGTTGGAATCTGAGGATCCTAAAATGTTGCATCACAATTTTTTGTTTTGAAAACAAGGTCACCAAATCATATCCCCTTTTCAGGACAGCCATGCTGCTCCCTGCCACCCTCGGGCACACATAAAACAGCATCAACCACACCACTATGCCATCAATGACCAGTAACTCTTTCTATCCTGTATCCCATCGCCACATTTCTGGTTATCAACCCTCTACCAGTTCCTCAGACTTGCTTCCCATTCTCAGCCTCTCCCTCCCTGCTATATACCAGGGACCTGTCCATGTCACTCCCTGTGCCAAAATGTTGGTGTTCCTTTTTTAGCCACCCTCTCACAGCTCTCTGCTTCAACCCTAATTCCTCCCACCCACCATACACTTACTCCAGTCCTCACAAACAGGCTCAGGCGCCCCGATGTGCTCCACAACACAGGTGTAGGTATCCTCATAAGAAGGAGTTGTAGCTAGATGGGAGACAGTCTGATATGTCCAGTCTCCATTGGGCTGGGCCATATTAAGGGCACTACTGTGAGAAGGGACAGGCTGCCCGTTCTTCCTCCATGAGATGGTCACATCAGCTGGATAGAAGCCCCACACGTAGCAGGCCAGCATCACACTCTCTTTCGTGTTAAAAGGAGTAGATTTGGCTACTTGTACAGTTGGTGGCCCTGCATAGGGGGAAAACATAGTCAGGAAAGAGGACAACATTCTGGCTTTTTCTCCAACCTGGTTTCTTTCCTACTTCAATTTTTCCTGACTTCTGCCAACCTACCCTCCCCACCCCCACTCCATGCCTCCACATCCCTTTGGAAAAGAGGAGTTAGGATTTACTCCTGCTTTGCTCTTTCTTTCCTCCCATTCTTTCACTGCCCTTTCCTTTCTTTCCTGCTCCAAAATTACAGTTGATCATATTAAGTAGAAGCCAGTTCTGAATTGCAGGCTGTTCCAGAAGTCGCTGTATTTATCTCAAGTATATAAGCTAACAGTTGTCAAGAGTTGTAGGTTGAGGTTTGTAAAGGTAGGAAACGACATCTGCTCTCAAATCTAATTTAACAAACTAAGTGGCTTCAAATGAAGCAGCATTTTTTACTTCCGATAGTTTAAGGAAACGAGCCTAACTCAGATCTAATGCTCTTAAATTTGGAATTGTGTAATCCAAATTTATGGAATTGTTAATATTGCCATTCTCTACTACTTTATTCGCCTAGATGACCCTCTTGCTTGCCTCTATCTTGGTGCTGTTCAAAACAGAATCTTAAATAAAAATCCAAGAAATTGTGTTAAAATGCAGATTCCCGAGGTTGCCTCCCAAAATATTTTCACCGAGTGGATCTGTAGTGACATTCAAGGGCTTGCATTCTTTTCTTTTAAGAATGAAATTTTTAGAAGATTTTATTTATTTATTTGAGAGTGAGGGACCGAAATAGCAAGAGAGAGCACAAGCAGGGAGGAGAGGGAGAAGCAGGCTTCCCACTGAGAAGGGAACCCAACATGGGGCTCAATCCCAGGACCCGGATCATGACCTAAGGCAGACACTAACCAGCTGGGCCACCAAGGCACCCCAAGTTCTTGTATTTTTAACAAACATCTTCCCTAGGCAATTCTGAGAAAAGTGGCCCAGAAATCACACCTTAAGACACATTACTCTGTCTTGTGGAGGTCTTCATTTTTCTTTTACCAATCTCAAGTCATTCTCAGTGGAAGGGCTTTGGGGCAAGAAAGCATGTTGAAATCCCCTGGAAAGCTTTCTAAATATTCCTATGCCTGGACCCATCCCAGACCTAGAATATCAGAACCTATGATAAAGAGGCATGAGCATTTGGAGAAAAGGCATTCTGGCTATTCTTACACATTCCTGGTTGAACTTAATTCTGCATCCTGAGATACCCTGAATAGAAGGAAAGCATGCTTACTCTCTCAATAGCTCCCTAGTGGCCTCTTTATTCACCCATCCCCATCAACAACCTTTTGAAGGTCAACACTCACTCTTTCTATATTCCAGGTCCATACATTTTCTGCTTGTTTCCTCCCCAAATCTCAAATCTCTTACCAATGGAGGGATGGAGCGATCCTCCCTGGCCTCCCTCCCCTCTCCAACTGTGCTTCCCGATAGCCCCTTTGCACCCCTCTCTCCTTACGTGTTCTGTGGGTCAGTGATCCCCAGAAGGACTGGGTATGTGTGGCACAGTCCTGGAGCCCATTAGACAAGCGCTGGTGCAGATATTCCTGTTGGTTGAGGTAATCTGAGAGGTAATTGGCCAAGACATTCAGTGTCCCAAATTCATAAGGGACCATTTTGGCCTCATCTGGATCCCAGCAGGTCAGCAAATCCTTATTGAAGGAGACACAATATGTGAAATCCTTTGGAGTCCCATCATCATCCAACAGACAGGAGCTTTCCACGTGAGCTATAAAGCCACCTATAGAAACCAGAGAAGGACGGCAGCTCAAAGACCTCTGCAGGAAGCCCAAGCCTCAGTTACACCTAATGAGTGGGGTGTAGTTTTCCTGCCTCAGGTAGCATCTAGAGACCATGCTCAAGTACTGGAGTCTCTGAGAGCACAAATTAAGGGAATAGGTGGTAGTAGCAGAGAAGTTTTCAGATGCTATTTCCTCTTTATGAGACTAAGTATGGGAACAAGAATAGACCAAAATTATTTGCTAGTTCAAGCACAGCTTACCCAGGACAAGGCCATCAGTAGAGCAAATTATTGAATGAGAAAGGGGTCAAGAGAAAGAGTCAGCTTTGTTGTATGCTGTATATATTAAATATTCACTCCAATATATATTTATGAAGCACACACACATATTATGTGCTAGGAGCTGAGGATGCATCAGTAAACAAGACAGATATTGCCCTTGCCCCCACTACAGGAAATGATATGTATTACACAAATAATTATACAAGCTTAATTATATTAAGATCACTACAAAGATAGAAAGGTACAAAGTGCTATGAGAGTACATACTGGAGAGACAAACTAGTCTGGGATGTCTGAATCCAACTGACCCCCCTGTCCCAAAGGAGCAGAGGAAGGGAAGGTCCCAGGCAGGAAACCCTTACCTTCTCCAGTAGAGCCCAGACTGAGGCCCAGCAGCAATGGTAGGAGTGTGGTCATGCTTTGCTCTAGGAACACTCCAGGAATTCAGTCCCCTGGACCAGTTCTTCCAGGGTCTTTGGGTCCTCGCCTGCTCCAGTAGCCCAGCCTGGGTAGATGTTCTCCAGACCCTGAGTGGAATACCGTATTGCCCCGGCTCCTTGATCCCCACTAAATGAATGATTTGGAGCCACCCATCCCCTAGATACTAAACCCGTTCCAACCACCTCTTCTAAGTCAGTCCCAAACTAAGAGTTGTCAGATTGGTTAGAGAGGCGAGGACAAATACAGAGACAAATCACTGAGTGCTTTAGCTTAGCATCATCAGTTACCAGGTAAATCTTATCCTGCCTTAGGCTTTAAACAACTCCTTCTCTTAACTCTTTCCCTGTGGGAAAGACCAGTCTGTAGGTGGATTTCCTTAATCAGTGGAAAGAATAATCCCAATATTCCCAGAACATTTGTAGCCTGGGCAGCCCAATGGTTTAACTGTTTCCTTTCAATATCCTTCCAAAAGACTGGGACTAGATAACTTCTCTTGTCCCTTAGAGGGAGGTTACTCAGATTTTGAGCAACCCTTGGTCTGTCCTGTTACCTGGAGATGGAGGTGGGATGGTGAAAGGCCCTTCCGGAGCTGTGGCAGGGCCAGGAATACTAAGATGGAAGGAGGTATTAGGAGAGTACAGAGTTATCTCGCCTCAAAGCACAAGTGCAGAATAAGGGAAGCAGCTCCACTTTAGAGGTCGGAGACAGACTGGAAAATCCCTCCCTGGGATTCCATTGCTTTTTTTGTTCTAGCCAGCAGAACTTCATTTCATCCTTTCTGCTTTTTGGAGCCAGGAAATCCTATCCTCCACCACTCTGAGCTATCTTAGGGCAGACCGCAGGACAACTCCACTTAAACCCTTGATAAATAGCTGGTAATGGATCAGTTCCCAAAACTCAACTGCCTCCCCAAACTCAACATTCAACAGTGTGTCTCTCCCACTGAGCCTATCTGTCCCAGAGCAGGTCCCTGCATAAGAAGCCACTAGAAAAATAAGACAAAGCTTCTGTACTTTACTTCCCCTGGAAAAGGCAGATTTTAACTGGCAATTCATTCTCTTATTCCACTGTGAAGTATACAGCTGGTGGCTTTTTCTATCACAAATTTAGAACCCTAAATTGGCTTCTCTCTATTCCCCAGTGGCTTCAGAGCTGTGTCTCCTCACCTTAGTTTCTGTAAGCTTTTGGATTTGATTTAGTAGTGAGCTAAATGAAAGAGGATTAGGAGACCCTTGATACCACACTTACCTGTTCCCCTCCCCAAAGTCCCTAATCTCAAGAGAGTCAATATTTATGAAGAAAAAGAAGCATGTACCAAAAATGAATAGAAAGATGAAAATAAGAAACAAAAGACTTGTGTAACTAATCAAGATTAACTGAAGTCGTGTCCATGTTTCCCAGCACCCCCACTCTCAACCCTACCTTCATTATAAGATGTTTCTATACTCTACCTCCTCAATAAGCCATCAGGTGAGCTAGAATGGGCAGAAAATTGGGTGGTGGGTCCAAAATGTGTTGAGCTTCAACTTTGGAACTGATACTATACTAGGTAGGCCCTTCCCATGTCATCTCATATAATCTTAAAAGACCTAAGTGTCTTCATTCTTACAGTTTTGAAAACAGGTCCAAAGATTCACACACAGGTGCACACACGCAAGCATGCCCACACACTCACTACATCTTGAGGCTGAGGTGACCCATGTAAAGGTGGCCAGCGCTGACCTCCACTGAGAGAAAGATAAAGGGAAAGCCACTTGATCTGTTCAAGTCTTAGCTTCCCTGTTCTCAGAATTCCTTCTGTTCTTAGAACAAGTGTCTCCTTGCTTTCTCTTTTAACAGTTTCAAAACTGTGCAAACTCTTCCCCCCAACCATCTGCATACACACACTTCCCCTTTACATTCTTCCTCCTCCCCCTAGGTAGGCGGTGAGCCTAACCTTGCAGGAACCAGGGCTTGGGATCCTTTCCAATGTCTACCAAGACTGCACTGGCACAGGAATGCTTGCGGTGAGGTCCCGTGCCTGCACAGGGTTGGCCACCTGCCAGGGAGCTGAGGCCACACGGAGTTCCCTCTTGAGTCTGAGTGTCTGCCCCGGCAGCCAAAGGAGATGTGAAACCATTTGTGAGGCAGCAGCAGGAAATGCAGAAGATTTCACTTCTCTATTAATAAGAAGACTGAGAGTACCTTTTAGAATAAAGCAAGGCAGAAAACCCAGAGACCTGTGCTCAGTGATTTCTTCATTCTCCTCTTCCTCCTAATTTTACGGACATAGGTAACCCATCAACCCAGAAGAACATTTTAGGGGCCCTGTCCATTATGATTGAATAACTATTTCTGTAGTGCCAGGACCACCAGGACCATAGGAATGAGGGAGCTGTAGCCACGTTCCCACATGCTGTCCCTCTTTTACTGGCACTACCCAAGCTCCAAGAGCCAGTCCTCTCCTTTCACACACCTCTCCCCCTGGGCTGTCCACCATGTGCCACAAGTGGACTAACCACGGTGTTCCTGTGCAGAGCATTACAAGAAATACCCAACTAGGAGATATGGACTCTGCCCCCACGCCATTTGCTTTTAGGTCAATTGGTGAATAAGAAAAAAACATTTGTAAAGAGAAGAGTTGATGTTAAAGCAAGTAAGCAATAAGGCCAGTGTACTTCAAAGAGAAAAGAGAAACCATTGAGGGCATGGTGGACAGAAAGTCCTCTCCACTGAGGGGTGCTGGAGGTGAGAACCAAATACTGGGCTGAAGCCACGTCCAGAAGAGAAAGGCAGTTGGCATCGCAGTCCTGACATATAACTCCACAAGCTTGGCAATGTTATGAGGTGCTGCTGGGGGTCTACCAGGAGCTTGGATTGACTACAACAAAAAGGAACTACAATAACATCATGGGCATCACACACTGAAGGAAGTCACAAATGTGGTCTCATGCTCTTCCTGAGAGCATGGCCCTAATTATAAATCCCTTCTAGGTACTTCCTTATGTTGCTCCCTGTAAATTCTCAGGTTCCTCTTCTGGACAGATGGTTTTAACTCAAGCCTCAATTTTATAAACTCAAAAATTGTTCAACTCATCAATCGTTTGTGATCTACAACCTGTAGTGTGAGACCACATTTGTGACTTCCTTCAGTGTCTTCTCAAAGAAGACAGTGTCTTCTCAAAGACCTGCACCCTGCCAGGATTACATTATTTCCCAGTCTGTCCAACCTCGTCCCTACCCACCCCCACCACACCTCTGTCCTCCCACTCTCTCTTCTCTATGGGTTTCACTGCTCCAGACCCCCAACCTTGGGGTTACAGTTGCTGTAACTAGCCCATTATCCTTCCCTCCTGCAGCCGAATGACTTGAACGGCTAGGGAATATTCTACCTCCTTTGCTACCACAACTCTTGAATAATATCATTATCTCCATCTTAACTATGATAAAATGGAGGCAGAGGGAGGTCAGCAACCATCCAGATTTATCCAGACGTGAATAGAACCATGATTTGAACTGAGGATTTAGGATTCTAAAATCTATACTCCTAATAATCAGTTAGAAAACAACTGAACATTGCTAGCCATTTATAGTAGTAACAAAAACCATAATGTGTTTAGAAATTAACATTAAAAAGTATAAGAACTTTATGAATAGAAGGGAAAACTTTATTAAAGTACATAAATGAACACCTCAGAAAGTGAAAACATATTCATGGATGGAGCATCCTAACATAACAAGGAAGTCAACTTCTTCCCATATCACTAACCTAAATGCTGTCCTAAACAAATCATAGCAAGATTTGGGGAGAACTTGGCAAAGTGATTCTAAAACATACATGGAAATCAAATCCATGAATATCTTAGACAATTCTGAAAAGAAGAGCAAAATAGGATTTAGGGAGAGGTGAAGTGATAGAGAAATTAAACCAGCCCTGCCAAATATTAAAACACATGAAAAGCCATAATAATTAAGACAATATGACACTGACATAGGAACTGACAAAACAATGGATTGAATAATTCAGAGACAAATCCATACATATAGGGAAATTTGGTATAAAATCCCTGGGAACAAAAAATAAAATAAAATAAAATAAAATAAAATAAAATAAAATAAAATAAAATAAAATAAAATAAAATCCCTGGGAATAAATGGAATATTTATTAAGTGATATTAAGAAGATCAATTTACTATCTGGGAGGAAAAGAAAGTTGTGTCCTTATTCCCAACATATAGAAAAACTCCAGAGCAAAAAAGATCTAAATGTGAAAGGAAAACAATAAAACGAATGGAAGAAAGCATAGTGAAATATCATATATGGCCAAATAAATACAAGGCAAAGGTTTTCCACCCAAAACTACTCATCAGAAAAAAAAGACAATTACCTCATACATAAGTCCTCAGGTTTTTTTCCTTTTCAGACTAGGACCACTCTTTCAAAGCTGTTTGGAGAAGACACATGATCCTAAAATGATGTCAATAAATATAAGAAGGGGACTCCACACTGTTTTCTATAGTGGCTGCACCAATTTACAGTCCTACCTACAGACCACACACCAGTCAACAACAATATGGAGATTTCTCAAAAAATTAAAAATAGAACTGCCACATGATCCAGCAATTCCACTTCTGGGTATTTATTCAAAGAAAATGAAAACACTCACTCAAAAGGAGATATGCACCCCTATGTTCATTAGGCATTATTTACAACAGCCAAGGCATGGAAATGACTTAAGTGTCCATTAGTGGCTAGATGGACAACATATCCATATGGCTGGACACACATAAATACACAATGAAATGTGATTCAGCCTAAAAAAAAAAAAAAAAAAAGGAAACCTTTCCATTTGTGACAACATGAATGGAACTCAAGGGCATTATGCAAAGTAAAATAAGCCAGGCAGAGAAAGACCGATAACATATAATTTCTCTTATATATGGAATCTAAAAAAAATGAAAAATTAAAATAGAAAGAAAGAGTTCGGGGCAGCCCGAACAGCAGTGGCCCAGCAGTTTAGCGCTGCCTTCAACCTGGGGTGTGATCCTGGAGACCCGGGATGGAGTCCCACATCAGGCTCCTTGCATGGAGCCTGCTTCTCCCTCTGCCTGTGTCTCTGCCGCGCTCTCTCTCTCTCTCTCTCTCTCGTGAATAAATAAATAAAATCTTTAAAAAAGAAAAAAAGAGTTCATAGATGAACAGGTTGATAGTTGTGGGGGGCAGAGGAGATAAATAATGAAATATTTTTGGTATTTATTTTATTTAAAGAAAGTATTTTTAAAAATAAATAAAGAATTTGGAAGTCATTCACATAATCAAAAAATACACAAGAAGAATAAAAATAAATTCGTTTGGGGTGCCTATATAGTGCTGTAGGTTGAGGGATCAACTCAGTTTTGGCTCAAGTTGTGATCTCAGGATGTCGAGATCAAGCCCCACATGGGGCTCCATACTCAGCAAGCATGGGGTCTACTTAAGACACTCTTTGCAAATTAATTAATTAATTAATTTAAAAAATTTTTAAAAAGACACTCTTTCCCTCTGTCCCTCCCCCTTGAACACATGCACATGCTCTCTCTCTCTAATCTTTTAAAAAATGAAAATAATTTTGTTTTATGACATTCAAGTGGGAAACAGCACCATCTTTATATTAATACATTGAGCAATAAAATATGTGATTTTAATCTCATGAGTTAGTAACTAAATAAAGATAGCTAGCAGACGTTTTACTAACTTCTACATCCCTCAAATTTTATATATTGAATTGGTCAAAAAACTTCTAAAATATTCTCATTGAGAAAACTAAGTATTGGGGCTCCTGGGTGGCTCAGGGGTTGAGCATCTGCGTTTTGTTCAGGTCCTGATCCCGGGGCCTTGGGACTGAATCCTGCAATGGGCTCCCCGCAGGGAGTCTGCTTCTCCCTCTGCCTATATCTCTGCGTCTGTGTGTGTGGGTCTCTCATGAATAAATAAATTCTTTAAAAAAAAATAAAGAAAACTGAGTATCATTTTATCACTTTATATTCCAGCAAAAATTGTAACTTTACTGCCTTGGGGTTGGGAAGGATTTCTTAAGATTATAAAAGCACAAATCATGAAGGTTCTGGCTGTCCGTCAAAATTAAATAATTCTATTCAGGAAAGAAACATACAAATTTAACTGATAAGCAGCAAACTAGAAGAAGGCATTTGCGATATTTATACTGACATAAAATTGTTACAAAGACTATATAAGAAATTCCCACGAATTCACAAGAAAATGCAATTTTTTAAATAGACAAAAGATATGACTCAGCAATTCACAGAGAGAGAAAACCATGAAAAGATCCCCGACCACAGTAGTAACACAGTAGTAACACGAGGAAGGCAAATTAAAATACACCCACCATACTGCCATATTGCCAACATTTGAAAGTTAAATAATTTCAAGTGTTAGTGAATAAATGAAAATGAGACCCACCTTCCCTGTTGATGGAAGGATAAACTGTTTATAATCCCTGAATTACATAAATTACAAACTAGTTAGGTGAAAAAAATTAACATATGAAACAAGGCAGTATATCCTTGAAAGCAGTCTGGATCAAAGTGCATAAAGTCTTAGTAAAGCTCAATAAAGATTATTTAAGGCTGCAGGGAGGGCACTTGGCTGGCTCAGTCATAAGAGCATGCAATGCTTGATCTTGGGGCTGTGAGTTTGAGCCCCACATCAGGTGCAGAAATTACTTAAATTTACTTAAATAAATAAGCTTTTTTTAAAAAAAAGTCTGCAGGATGAGGGATAAGTTCATGGAAGAAGTTGAATTTAGGTGGGATCAATAGCATTGGTTAAGCTGGGAACAAGGGGAGCAGAATAAAGAAGGAATTACAGTGAGAGGAAGCCTGTGTGCCCTAAAGGGAACACAGACACAGTACAGTCAAAGAAGAGTGGTGAAACCAGATTCATTCAAGAGTAAGGATACCTGTTGGGAAGGGGGACACCAGACTAGAGAGGGTCTTTAGTGCTTCTTGAGTATTTCAAGTGACAGTATCATAGAATGTTTGACCAGAGAGCATCTAATGTGAAGCCCATCATTTTACAAATGTGGAATTTGAGGTCCACAAAGGGGGTGTAACTTGTCTAAGGTCACACAGTGTAATAAACGCAGTCTGAAGACATGACTGGCAAGAAATTTCTAGATAAGTTGGAGAACAGATAAAAATCAGGAAGAACTACAGAGGAGTAAGACACATGTAGAATGGTGAGGAGAAAAGAAAAATAAAAATATCTCAAAGGGAGAAAATATAATACTTGAATGTAGATTCGAAGTAGGTTCCAGAAAAAAAGAAAGAAGTCAGTCATGCTGCTAAGTTTCCCTATGGAAATCCTTGCTCAATTATTGATCAGCTTTTCCATGTGCCAAACACTGTTCTAAAGCATTCTACAGATACTGCCTTATTTAGGTTTCACAACAACACTATTAAGGTGAACACCTTTGTTATCATCCTTTTACAGAAAATAATGCCAAGGCCCAGAGAGGTTAAGTAACTTGCCCAAGGTCACACAGCTGAAATTTGACAGTCAAAATTGAATCCTTGGCAGCTTGGTTCCTGAGCATACTATTAAGCAGTAAGCATGCTGCTATTAGAAATGAGATGGGGGAGGGGCACCTGGGTGGCTCAGTGGTTGAGCATCTGCCTTTGGCTCTGGTCATGATTCCCAGGTCCTGGGATTGAGTCCCGCATCAGTCTCCCTGCAGGGAGCCTGCCTCTCCCTCTGCCTATGTCTCTGCCTCTCTCTTTATGTCTCTCATGAATAACTAAAAAAAATCTAAAAAAAAAAAAAAAGAAATGAGATGGGATAGAGGAGGTGCCAACTCCTGGGAATTGGATCTTTCCCTTAGATTCTGGTACATTGTGAAAAACAGAGACTCTCTGACCAATACCAAAATAATTTCACTCTTAACTTTAATGCCACCCCCTCCTCCAAAGTAACCCCCAGACCCTAAAGAAAGCAAGAAAAAAAGAGTATGCAAAGTAATTTACCACCAGTAGTCACGTGTCCCCTGCCCCCACTATCTGCTCAGGGCAGCACCACCATAGTTCTCCTTGGATGATCCACTCTGGCTAAAGAACAAATTGTTTGGAGGGATACATGAATTGTGGGCCCCTTCAGGCTGTTTCAGGAGCTTGAATATACGGTTTTCACAGAACCAATATGATTGAGTTAGAACAGCATTTGAAAGCTTATTTTTCCCATTCCTGACCTCCCATTTTTCCAGCTACAGTGAAGGTTGAAAGGAGTTATATATTTCCCAAGGCAGCTTATACTAGCCATAAACATTTTCACAAACAGTAAAATGAAAAAAAAATATCCACAATCAGCTTCCTCCACGGTTTTGTGAGCAGATTATCAGAAAATAGCTCTGCCTTCATTTTTCATGTATTTTGCACAAACGGAGAGGAGTAAAAGCCATTGTATGGTGCTGAGACCAGGGAACAGGAGTCAACTGAGGAGCTAGGGGTTTTCCCATTTCCCTCCCTAATGAGGACAAGCTGCATTCAAGTTAAAGCAAGTTGAACTTGAAATGACAACCCATGCAATATTAAGAAATAAGATTTATTGCCCTGAAGTGGGAAGGAATGTGGTTGTGATAAGTAAGCCGTTCTGGGTACCCCTGGGTGCAAGTCCAGGCACAGTAGAGCCCCAGCTGAGAAACTTGTACACATCCTCACGCATACACTCCCAGAGGCATCCTGGGGACTCCTGCTCTGAGAAAGGGAGATCCTGGGCAGGATGCCAGAAACGTGAGTTCCCACTGCATGCATGGTTGACCCTGCTGGCACCAGATTCTGGTCAGGAACTATCAATCTGAGGAGAGAGAAGGATGGAGGAAAGCCATCAGGAGGACCCCCCCTCCTCCACAAAGGCCTCTCCCTGCCTGCTGCATATCCCATACAAGTTGATCTCTCTTTGGCCCCAAGTTATCTCCAAGCACCCCTCCTATAGTTCCCCATATCACTCCTCTCCCACTCAAAGCCATGCCTGTGATCCTGTAACTGTGTGTGTATGTATGTATGTACGTAACTGGGATTCCAACCAGGAGGATGTCCATGGTGCTGACACAGGCCTCCCTACACCACAGGATGACCTTGGGCATGCCCCCACATGCACCGCTGTATGTGGCTCCCATGGTTCGCCCACCCTCTCCAGACACCCTGATGTACCATGAGCAAGGCTTTCGGAAGTACACGATGAGGACTAAGCCAACAACGATGCCCAGCATACCCAGGCCAAAGGCTATACCACACAGCACATTCTCCAGAAGATCAGAGGGCAGCGCATCATGGGGCACTGGAGAAAAAGAGGAGCAAGTCATCCTGGAGCCTTGGTCGGTGAGTCCCCACCCAGGGGAATGACTTGGGGGGCAGGAATTAAACAGGAGAAATAGAGGCATGAAAAATTGAAGCTGCTCAGGGTGAGAATGGACTTAAGCAAAGTGCAAGTAGAGAAAGAAAGCCCTCCCATGGGTCCATCCTTTTTTGTCCCCAAAAGAAAGCAGGCTTCCAAGGAGAAATTTCTCACCCCAATAGGCAATTGCCGTGTAGTTGTCAATCTCATGAGTCACCACGCAGGAGAAAAGATCAGAGGGTGCCGGTGTAAAGTTTAAGTAAGAAAAGGCCTGGAAGCTGAATCCATCAACAGCGGACACAAAAGTGGGCCCGATTCCTTCCACAGGGTCCAAGTGATGCCACCAGTTCACCGTCAACGTGGGTGGGAAGAGATTACTGATAAAACAGACCAGCATGTTGGGTTTGCCAAACTCCAGGGGCTTCAACGTGAACACGTCGACCATAGGAAACCCTGGTGGGAGGATTGAGGTGTGAGGGAAAGAAGTAACTAGTTTACATGGTACCCCTAAGTTTGGAAGGGATGTGGCATACAGAGGGGAGTGTAGAGACAGTGTCAGTGGGAGTGGGCTTTGGAAGGAGAGATGAGGGAGGAGCTTGGGCTCTGAGGGAGGTCTTCTTCCAGGCAAGTACCAGACCTTGACTAGAGGCAGAGCTAGACCCAGGCTACTCTGGGACCCTCCATCGTGACTTCCTGCAGCACTTCCTGTCTACAGTTCACACCATCATCTAATCACATGCTATCTTCTCACTGAAGCACAGGCACATCATTAGATACTTCCTTTCTCCCCTTCCATCCTACTGAGCATAGCAACACAAGCTCTAATATTCTGTAGGCATCAACTGGTCCCTATTGCATTCATTAAATTCAATAAACAGTTCTGAACACCTACTATGTCCTGAGCACAAGTCTTTGTCCCACAACAAAAACAGAGTGCAGACCATAGCTGGTAAGGGGAGACCCAGACGACATTAGAGGAGGGGGCTGGTGTGAAAGGGAATAATTCAGTGTACAGGTTGAGGAAGTTAAGAATGTAGCCCCTCTCTCCGCCCCCCAAAACACCCCTGACCTCTAGACACAGGGATTTGCCCTTCAAGTTTTGGTCCTATTTCCTCAATCATAGCTTGGCAGAATGCTTTGTCAAAGGAAACGGTGGGCATATCTCCAGACTTCTGAGCCCAGTCAGCAAATTCAGGCAGGCGAGGCACTCGAGTGTTCTGGGAAAAGTTGAAGGAGAAAAGCTGGTCCCCATCATAGGCTTCCAAGAGTCCGATGCTGGGACTCCAGTTCTGGCAGTACATCGTGTGCAAGAACGTGTGGTTTTGCAGTTCATCCCGCCATGCTAGAGTAGGAGCTGCAAAGGAAACAAGGTAAGTCAGGGAGGTGGGAGTGTCCTCCTCCTCCTTAGCTTAGAAAACAGCAAGGCCTGCTTCAGGCAGAGGGGTAGGATTGGGGTGTGACCCCTTCTTGTGTCTGTTATTTAGGCTCTCCCTCCCAATGAGGGTAAAGAAGAAATCACAGGATCTCTCCAAACTTTCCCTGCCCATAAAAAGGCCAACTGTCGGGGATCCCTGGGTGGCGCAGCAGTTTAGCGCCTGCCTTTGGCCCAGGGCGTGATCCTGGAGACCCGGGATCGAGTCCCACGTCGGGCTCCCGGTGCATGGAGCCTGCTTCTCCCTCAGCCTGTGTCTCTGCCTCTCTCTCTCTCTCTCTCTCTGTGACTATCACAAAAAAAAAAAAAAAAAAAAAAAAAAAAAAGGCCAACTGTCCAAAGTTGTAAAAGTAAAAAAAAAAAAAGTCTAAAGCAACAAATTTGGAGTCACAAGGTTGGGTTGCCTGTTTGTGTGTTACACGAGGGATCTGGCCAAGGAAGTAAATGAAAGTTGAAATCTAGCCTGCACTCCGCTCACCAAGCATGCCACATGGCACAGGGCTGCATCCTCCCAAAAAAGATACTTTTGTCTAAATCACAGAAGGCCACTATGTTAACTTGTGAAGGGCTTCGATGGGTTCCCCCATCTTAGAAGGGAAGGTAAATTAAGGAATGGTCATGGCCTCCCCAAGCCACACATGACACTGCCCCATCTTACCCCCAGAAAACATGGTTAGCTAAAAAACCAATCTCCAGGTTTCTCTTCAGCTGCTTCATCAGCACCAGACCTCTCTGAAAACCTCCTCATCTCCCTCAGCCCTCCAGCCCCTGCAATGATAGGAGTGGGAGGACCCAAAGTTGTAGGCAATAATCTCTATCCTTTGGAATTCCTGGCAAGAACCTCCCCACACACAGGAGCAGGAAACTTTCTATCCAGTACTCAATATCTAGAATAATAGATATTTAGAGGAAGAGGGATCTTCAGATTATTCATCCATTCCACCCGTCCTTTACAAGGAAGGAAACTAAGGACCAATAAAAGTTAAGAGACTTTCAAGAACTACGAGGTGAGTTGATGACAGAGTGCAGAGCAGATACCTAAATAGGACAGTAACATAATATTTACTTTGTTCAAATCCCAGCTCTGCCACTTTCCAACTGCATGAATTTGAATACATTACCGAGAGTCTCTTAGTCTCATTTTTTTTTCCATTTGTAAAATGGATATAATAATCTCTTTCAAGAGATTGTTTCAAGTGCAATATATAAAGTACCTCTGACATTGTTTGGCCATCTATCCATAGTTTATCTCTTTCTCAATTCTGCTATTGTTTCCACTACTCCATAATACTTCCTGCCACTTACAAAGCACAGGGCTTCAAATGCAAAGAAGACTTCAAAGGCTCTGGGCAGTTCGCTAGGCTCTGACCTGTCAGGATTGAAGTAAAGGCGAGGTATTGTCATACCTTCAGGGGCGGTCCAGGAGTACGGCAGCAGCCACAGGAGGTGTAACAGCCTTAGCAGTGCAGCTCCCTGCCTCTGCTCATGATCCATATCTTCACACCACACCATGGGCTAAGACCTACCAACCAGCTGACCCAGGGCCCCGAACTCCTTCCCCAGATCATGTTCCACCAGCTATTTCCAATAGTTGCCTTTATCACTTGGTTAAACCAATCACAGAAGTGTATGGTTTAACATCATCAGTTGCTGGGGAGAGACACAGTGCCAGCAACCTCTTCTAAGACTTGGCTCTTTCACCAGGCCAGAGTCGGGTGTGTAACTGGGCTGGGAAGACAATGGAGGGATGTCTGCCTCCTGCTGGGGATCCCTCTGTAGTACCAAGCTGTCAGCTTAAGCCAGTAACCTAGGCAATGGGCTCTTCAGAGCAGCACCACCTCCTGGCAGTTGGCTGCAGTGGGGAAGCTCCTCTTCCCACCGCAAACTCCCAGGGCTCTTCAGACCCCGCCTCCTCCTCCCTCCAGCCCTCCTTCCTCTTTTTCTCTCTGAGAGGTGTTCTTCAGGCATTAGCTCTATTTCATTCTGCAGAAATACATGGAAAATTTAATAAGTACTAGTACTGGGTCCAGTGCTAGAAATACAAAGATGAATAAAGGGTATTCCTGCTTTCAAAGAGCTTAAAGTCTAGTTGGCGGGGTGGGGGAGTCAATGAATAAATAATTACACAACAATGTAATGTTTCCAACAAGAATGTGCTCAGTGTTTTAAAAGTAGTAACTTTATGAGGATGGAACATAATCCAGGCTTCTGAGAATCTTGAAAGAAAAACAATTTGACCAGCAGAACCAGAAGGAAGAGAAAAGCATTCTAGGGCAAGGGCCAGGCGAAAATGTGAAGGCAAAGGCATTCAGAGCTCCTTCCCTTGGAGACATCTGTGTGGTTGGATGTGAATGGTGTGGAGACTACTGATTGTGTCCCTGTTTGGTAGTAGTGCATGGAGGAGTGTCAAGATGAGCTGGAAATTTAAGCAAGAGCCAGATCACATAGGCCATGTTATAACACAAAGAGGGTCTGGCTTTTAGAGGTATTAAAACTGAGGAGTGACCCAATTATTTTAAATTTTAGAAAAACTGGTCTTCAAAAATTTCAAAGGATGGACTGGAGCTTAGAAAAAATTGAGCTAAAACTGCTGGTCAGAGTCTATATTATATTATATTATATCAAAATAAGAAGTTGCACACACCCACACACCACTCTTTTTTAGCAATATAGCAATAATTTAGGTGAGAATTGATAAGAACCTGAATTAAGTCATGAACAGAGGCGATGGAGGGAATAGAATATTGAGATAATTAGGAGACAGAATCTAAAAGGCTTGGCTACTGATTAGCCAAACAGAGGAGTCAAGGCCAACACTAAGACTTCTATATTAGCTGGCTGGGTGGGTAGTCAGTAATGAAATAGAAAAGGAGCCATAGAAGCAGATTTGATGAAGAAGAGGATGAGTTTAGTGTTGTACCTGTAGAATGTGAGATGCCAGTGGAAGAACCATGCAGGAGACATGAGGTATATAGGTATAGAACTGAAGCATGGGCTGAAAAACCTCAATTTGGGAGTCATGAGCACAAATGTTGAAGCAGAAGCAGTGGATAAGATCATGCAAGTAGACTGTGCAGACAGAACAGGAAGTGGCAGACTTATCTGCATGGATTCCAACCCCAACCCTCTTACCAGTTATCATCCAGGATCTAGTTGGGAATATAGAACCACTCTAGGTCTTCCAGACTCAGGGAATTTAATACAGGAAATCAGTCACAAAGGTGTTAAAAGGGCAAGAAGTACAAAAAGGAAAAGGTGTCTGGAGGCACAAATAGAGGAATATCTAGAAATCAGAAGCTATTCTTCCCCTGACATGGAATCCACGTCCATGACTGCTGTTGCCTTGGGACCAACACCATCATAGCTAGTTCTGGATCTGCTGAAAAGGTTCCATCTTCTTCAAGGCTGGATCATTGAGAAGATGCTTCCTCTACCTAGGAGGCTTACGTCCAGAATCACCCATTCTTACTGCTGCCATATCTACCAGCAACTGTCACTCCTTTAGAAACTAAAGCAGGAAGCTTCTCAGTTTCCCCTGCCTTCATATCCCTTGCCAGGGCCTCCTATTGGGAGAATATAATGGGAAGCCAACCAGCTAATAAGCCTGAGAAGTACATGCTTTACAGACGCCTTGGCCAAGCAGTTCAGAACACAGTATAGGAGGGCGAGCCTGGCACTAACACCAGAAAATAACCAGTACACGGACATGGACCAATTTGTAGAGATTTGGTGACACCAGGAGCATCCAGATAGCCATGAGAGCTAAGAGAACACGGAAGGAGCAGATTCAGAGAAGCAGAGGTGTTCCATGAAGAAGGACAAGGTCAGCATTATAAAATGCTACCCAGAAGTCAAGGAAGGACTAGAAGTGTCCTTAGATTTGGTAATTATGAAATGGTTGACAAATGTATTGAGAGCAGTTTCAGTGTTGTAGTGGGAGTTGACTCCAGATTGTGGTGGGCTAAGAAGCAAGTGGGAGGTGAGGAAGAAAACTGTCACAGTATATGCTGGGAAGTCTAATAGAGAAGAAAAAGAAAGACAGAAGGGATGGGGGAAGAAGCAGTGAGAAGCATCTAATGTGGCAATTAAGTAACCTTAGAAATCAATCTATGTGAATATAGTCCCTCAGTATCTCAGACTTTCAAAATCCATACTCCCTTTTGAAAAATAAATATCAGCAGCAATAATAGCCAAAACCCAAAACAACCCCATGATCTCCTGGATATTCTGAAACACTAATGTGTATATATGTGCAAGCACATATATGAGTTTGTGTGGTGGGGGGCAGGCAGAGTGGCAAGGCTGGAGTAGGGTTTGGAAATCATTGTGTTACGCTCCGAAAAACAGAACATTTTCCCAATGTCCCACTCTTTGTAGACTAATCCATCAAGAGTTCCTGCAGTGGGAAGATTCAGGCCTTTTAGGGAAGCAGAAAGGAAGTTTATAACATCATCAGGACCATAGGGGGAGACATAGTGCACACAGCCACCTAGAGTCTAAGGCAGGAGAATCCGAAAACCTCTGTGAAGGATCAGATAGGAAATATTCTAGGCTTTGTGAGCCATTCATCTCTGTGTTATGCACTCAGCTGCAAGTGCACAAACAGCCACAGACAACATGTCAATGTTGAAAGAGCATGGCTATGCTGGATTCCTCCCAGCTTCCTCCCACACTTCCTGGGCATCTCCTTCTCAGTCTCCTTCATGGAGCACTTTCTTTCAGTCATTCTGAAAACACCATTTAGGTGGTGTTCCCTGGAGTTTTGTTCTTTACCTTTTTTTTTTAACTTACGGACACTGGAATTTAAATTTCATACAATTTTCATTACATCATTCTTTTGCTTTTCTTCCAACCATTTAAAAATGTAACCATTTCTCTTAGTTCTTGGGCCACTTAAAAGATGGTGGGCTGGGGATCCCTGGGTGGCGCAGCGGTTTGGCGCCTGCCTTTGGCCCAGGGCGCGATCCTGGAGACCAGGGATCGAATCCCACGTCGGGCTCCCGGTGCATGGAGCCTGCTTCTCCCTCTGCCTGTGTCTCTGTCTCTCTCTCTCTCTCTGTGTGACTATCATAAATTAAAAAAAAAAAAAGAAAAAAAGAAAAAAAAAAGATGGTGGGCTGGATTTTGCTCCATACTATAGTTTTCTGAACACCATTCTCTGTATGTGGTCAGAATTGAGATGGGGACTCAAAATAAACCAAAGAAGGGCTCCATTTCCCCTTGGGGGTGGCTATTGATTAATGATTGTGGCCCAGATAGGACAGATTGTTTGGAAGGAGGTCTGAGGGGACATGAGGAAGAAGACTAGGTAGGAAGGCTAGGAACAAGTATAGCAGTCACTGCAACTACCCTGCGTGAGAGGAAAGAAATAAAAGGGTACAAGTTCTTCACAGATTAGAGTGTAGACAAGATCAAGGTGAGCAGATATATAACCACCCATCATCAAGACTCTGGCCAGGTGTGGTCAACTCTTCTCTCCCAGTAAAGAGTAACAAGTTCAAACAGTTAGGACTATCCTTCCCTCTATGCAATCCTGTCAGTACTCTCCAACAAGTTCTGTAACAGATATCTCAAAGAGTCTCTAATTAGTTTGCAGAAGTAATTGCATGCGAGAGGAGCAAGGCAATTGGTTCTGTATTCCAGTAACTCACTGTATATTTTGGTCATTAAATAGGAATGTCCCTGAAAATAATGGCACCTGTGAATCTAGTAGGTCATGGCTTTCTAACACAGCTCACTCATCCCTTTCTAGCCCCATTTATTTTTCCTAGAAGACCAAATTTCCTGAAAAGGGCATGGGTTTCCATATTTCCACTTTTATACTTGCCATTTATGCTATAACTCTCAACAAGGAGACTGTTCACCAATATTTTTGAGTTGGTAAATCAAATGAACTCTTTGCAACATTTGACACTGTTGGCCATGCCCTCCTTCCTAAAATGGCCTATTTTTTGGCATCATGAATGGCACTCTCTCCTAGTCTTTTTGCTCCTACTTCTTTGGCGTCCTCTTCTCTGTCTTCTTTGTGGACTCCTTTTTTTTTTTTTTAATTTATGATAGTCACATAAATGTGAGAGAGAGAGAGAGAGGCAGAGACACAGGCAGAGGGAGAAGCAGGCTCCATGCACCGGAAGCCCGATGTGGGATTCGATCCCGGATCTCCAGGATCGCGCCCTGGGCCAAAGGCAGGCGCCAAACCGCTGCGCCACCCAGGGATCCCTGTGGACTCCTTTCTTAACAGCTGGTGTTCCCTGGAGTTTTGTCCTCAACCTTTTCTCTTCTTACATTTGTCCTGGATGGCATGCCTTCAGTTGCCTCCTATTTGCTGATGTCTTCCAAATTTACTCCTTGAGCTCAGTTCTTTCCCTGAATTTCATACCACCCATATACTCAACTGCCTTTCAACATCTCCACTTGACCTCCACAGCAGTTCTCAAACTGTATTCTCCACAAAAGTGTCCCTCAAGAAATTTTTTGGACTGTAAACTTGATAGTAGCAATTTTTAAAAAGATTTTATTTATTTATTCATGAGAGACACACACACAGAGGCAGAGACATAGGTAGAGGGAGAAGCAGGCTCCCCACAGGGAGTCGGGGACTCTGGGATCACGCCCTGAGCTGAAGACAGATGCTCAACCACTCAGCCACCCAGGCGTCTCGATAGTAACAATTTTTCATTTTTAAATTTACCTCAACACAGAGGTAATAAGATGCCAAATACATAATAATCTCATTATGTAATCATTTATTATATTGAATAAAACTCTTCGAGATGTAGGCAATAGACACCAATTCTGGCTAACTTAACTTTTAAAATGGCAATTTACTGGAAGGATACTGAGCTAAATTCATAAAATCAAAAGAAGAATGGAATAAGCTAGCCTCAGGAAGGAAAGCCTCAGGGGTCTTAGCAGCAAGAGTTGAGCTGCTGGTTTTTTTTTTTTTTTAAAGATTTTATTTATTCTTGAAAGACACACACACACACACACACAGAGGCAGAGACACAGGCAGAGGGAGAAGCAGGCTCCATGCAGGGAGCCCGATGCGGGACTGGATCCCGGGACTCGATCCCGGGACTCCAGGATCACACCCTGGGCTGAAGGCAGTCACTAAGCTGCTGAGCCACCCAGGGATCCCCTGAGCTGCTGTTAATTACGCCTCACCCTGAAAGACCTCCAGCCACCATCTCCCAAGTTTCACATTGCTGGGAGAGATGATCTGACTGGCTCAGCTTGTATTAGTGTGTATCTCTGGATCAATTAGCTGTGGCCAGGCACAATATCACCCCTATGTATCACAGTTATTCCCAGAGAAGGGAAAATCATCATGAACCAAAAACCACCTCAATACGCTATCTTCAACATATGACATGCTGGACAATTGCATGACATCATCTGAGACATTAACACAAGGTTAAATCTGTGTATTAATGCTCAGATAGCATTTTCCAACTAACTGCTTGAGTGATATATGTCTTCCACTTGATCTCTGGTCTGTCACAAGTCTTGGCACAAATTCAAAACATACTCATAATATGATTCAGTGTTGATTTAGTAATAATAAAAATTTTTACATTCCACTAATTGATTTCCTTTAGATCTATGACTAAAATATATTTTTTTTAATTTTATGGTGAAAATTTTCAAACAGGGGAGCCGAAGTGCTCAGTTGGTTAAGCATCTGACTCTTCATTTCAGCTTAGGTCCCGATCTCAGGGTCATAAGGATGGAGCCCTGTGTGAGGCTCTGCGCTCAGCAGAGTCTGCTTGTCCCTCTCTCTCTGCTCCTCCCTCTGCTGTCCTCCCACCTCTATCTCAAAATAAGTGAAAACTTTTTTTAAAACTTTCAAACATAAAAGAGAATATAATAAATCCTCATTTTACTCTCATGAGCTTCAATACTTGTCAACCTTCTAAAACTCTTCCTTTCTTGTTTCATCTATTCTGTTCCACGTCCTTTTTATCTATTCTGTTCCATGTCCTTTTTTTTTTTTTTTCTTTTCTGGGCTATTTTAAACAAATTCTGCCATTATATTTCTCAGATAACTTTTCTTTTAACAGAATACAATACTATTACCACAACCAACCGAATTAAAAACAATTGTTTAATTTCATTTAAACCAATCTGTGCTCATTTTTCCCCAGTGATCTCAAAAAGTAAATTCTAAATGAAAAGCAGTGTGTTATGATTTCCAAACTGCATTCATTTCAAAAGTATTGGCAAGTTTTTTTTTTTTTTGAAGATTTTACTTATTTATTTGAGAGAGAGAAAGAGAGGGAGGGGGAGAGAGAGAGAATGAGGGAGCAGAGGGGAGAGGCAGAAGAGAGAGGGAAGAGGAGACTCCCCGCTGAGCAAGGAGCCTAATGCGGGGGACTTGATCCCAGGATCTGGAGATCATGACCTGAGCCAAGGGAGATGTTTAACCATCTGAGTCATCTAGGTCATTTGCATTAGGTCTCAAAAACCCCTGTTGATGGTTCAATAAAGAATTCTAATAGGCAAATGAAGTCTAGCAATTACAATCTTGAATACCCTTCCATCTCAAAATTTACAAAAATAAGCTCATTACCCTCCTTCCCAACAAGTTCCAACTCCTATATTCAAGACCTCAGTAAATAACTTGACTATCCAATCAATCATCTAAGCCACAAATCTATGAGTCAACCTTGACCACTTCATCTTCCTCAAATCTTCTCATCCAATTGTTTAGCAAGTCCTATCAATTCTACCTTGTTAGTATCTCTTGCATCTGTCCTCTTCCCATTCCCACTGGCTCAGGCCTTCATTGATTTGTTTGCTTTTCCCTGGATTACTTACTTCCCTGGATTTCTTCTTCTTGATCTGTCTCCATTCTTATTTTCTAGTGCTGCCAAAGGAATCCTTTTATTATGCATATTTCATCACATCATACTTTTGTACAAAAACCTTCAATGATTGTCTGTAATCTGCTTCCTTAGTATGATCCTTAATGACCTGAACTCCATTTAACCTATGTCTGTATGTCCTTTGAGATGAAATCTCACTTCCCTCAGGAAGCCTTGGAACCTGGAGCAGGGATTAGTGGCTTCTTCTGTATGCTGCCACAGTTCCCTGTGCCTGCCATTACCATCATTTTTCTTGTATTACTCTCTCTATATATGTGCTTCACAGTCATCTCACCCTCACCGCAAGATTCTTAAGGAACCATGTCCTATTCTTTTTTTTCACACTCTTAGCATCCACCAAGAAGATACACCAACAAGTAACTGTTCACTGGATGAATGTGTGGTGTTACTGAAGATGATGAAACCGAGACTAAAGAGCCCTCAAGCATTAGATGAATGATAGAGAATCCCTTCAAACACAGTCAACAGTAGGTCTTACCAGTCATGCCTATGGGCTACCCTGCAAATACTTTCACCCCCACTGCCTTCCCTGTGCAACCCACCATTCTCCACACTCTTCCCATTCCATTCTAGGTCCTTCCCAAGCTACATGCCAACTGCCATTTTCTTCCTACTCCCTTCCACCTTCTGTTTCAGAGAGTGAACCTAGTCATCCATCTCCCATTTACCCTCATTCCCAGCTCAATATATCTCTTCACATCCATGAATGAACGTTCATTCTTTCTTTTAGCTACTTTATTAGGATGTAGCAACTCTGTCAACTACAAGGTTGGAATTTATTATTCCACATATAAATAAGAAAACCGTGGCTCAAAGAGGTTTGTTTGTTTATTTATTTATTTAGCAAGTATGTATTGACCACCCTCTATCTGCCTGGCAGGATGCTGGACACCAGACACCTACCATCATCACACTTATAATCTAGTGAAAATAGAGATATTAAACAAATCTAAAAATGCAAATTGTAAAAGGAAGGAAAAAAACTGAGATCTGTTAGACTAACTGGAATGGGGAACCTAATGATACTGAGATGAGATCTGAAGGGTGAGTAGGAGTTAGGCAGAGTGGGAAGAATGCTCCTCTTGGAGGGAACAGTAGTAGCGTAAGCCATGAAGACAGGCAAGGGACTAGCTCCGGAAGTGAAAGATCAGTGCGGCTGGAGCATAATCAGCAAGTAGAAGATGGTAGATGAGGCCAGAGTCAGGCAGAAGCAAGACCACGTGGGACCTTGTGGACCACAGGGAGGCTTGAGCCCCCTTCTAAGCATAGATAGTCCTGAGACTGCGACTAATTTATTCCTTCTCATCTCACATGTGAATGCATGCTAGCTGACCTACCTCCAGTCTCTCCGAACCCAATCCATGGTGCATCCTGTTGCCAAACAGATCTCCCTATAAAGGTAGCTCTCACTTCCCCTCTTAGAAAAGTTAAATAGTTCCCTTCTTTCTACTATATTCAGTCTGGATTACTTGGCCTGGGTTTTCAGGTTGCCCATGCTCTGTATTCTATCCCCAGCTTACAGAAACTGCTCTCCAATATCAGTAATGACCCCCAATTACCAACCCATGAGTTTTCCTTCTTTGTCTGCAGAATATCACTTTCTCATTCAATCAGAACAAGGTTCTTAACTTGCAGTTCCACAAGCCACAAAATTCAGGGGTCATGAACGTGGATGGAATTTTTTAAAGTCACTTTTATTTCCAATAACATCAAACTGAAATTTAAGTTTAGGAATGTAGAAAGCAAATCTTTGTAGTACTAGCAGTACCTGCAATGTTTCCATCAATAGAAATCAATTAATATTTTCATGTCACATACAGATATCTCAAAATATCTCTATAATTTAATAAGTTGTTAGACTTGCCAATAAATCATTTTATTTGTTACTTAAGAACCACATGTATTATATTAACATGGAAGCACATATCACTGGATCATCACACATTTCTTTAAACATAATTCTGATAATTATGTATTTTATTTATACTTTTACAAATGGTATTGTCAAACAAGGTCCTAAGGCTCTAGCAGACTGTCAAAGAAGTCCATGGCACAAACAAGCACAACTCCTGATTAGTCATTTATTCAACAAACATGAAGCCCTTACTGGGGCCTTGTCTTGTTCTGGCATCTTCATATTATGTAATTTTGCTTTTCTTTCTTGTTTGATGCTCTTCCGTTGGTTCTACTTCCTATTCTGTTCCCCGAATGAGGATCTAACCCAAAGTTCAATCTTCGACTCAAAACTAAATTCTATTTTATACTTCCTTATAAAGCTCATCTATCTGCATGACTGAATCAAACATCAATTCAAATATGACTCCCAAATCTACCTCTCCTGATCTTTTTTCTCAACTTTAGTCCTAGATCTTAAACTACCTGCTGTGTTTAGCAACCAGAAAAACAGATCATCCATGGGCAGACTACTTGGGTTCACATCCCAGCTTAAGATCACTTACTAAAAGTTTGACCACAAGTAAATTATTTAACATCTATTGCTTCAATTGCTTCATTTGAAAAATGGGGATGATAATAATAGCATCTACTTCATAAGGTTATAAGAAAGGAATTAAAAGAGTTAATACATATAACAGCACTGGGGCACCTGGGTAGCTCAGTTGGTTAAATTTCAGACTCTTGGCTTTGGCTCAGGTTATGATCTCAGGGCCATGAGACCTAGCCATCATTGGGCTCGTGCTCAGCAGTCTGCTTGAGATTTTCTCTCCCTCTCATCTCCCACCCCTACAAGTGTTCTAAATAAATAAATAAATTTTTAAAAAGAAAAAAAAATACATGTAAAGCACTTATAACAGCCCCAAACACATTTCAAGTATTCAACAAATGTGAGCTATCACCAGTCTCATCTCCTTTCAACCCGACATTTGTATTCGGTGTTTATTAACAGGTATCATGCTAGCTACTGGGAATATGAAGACGGGGTTCTTATCTAACGACATAACATGGGTCAAGGAATTGCTCAAATGACTCCCCAGCTAGTCCAAGCTTAATGGCACTAGAAATCTTTTTACAACACTGCCTCAGATAAATTTATCTTCCAATCTTCTCTCCTCTTGCTTTACCTCTTATGGCTTATATCCTATTCTGGCCAGACTGGAGTGCTCTGCTCTCTGTGAAGATGGCCTGTGCTGTTCTGCTTCTGTCTTTCCTCACACCATTCCAATGTCTCAATTATATACTTGACAGAAATGATGACTTACAATGATTATTTCCCCAATACTATGAATGATGCCCCATAAACATACATTACAATTTCATCTAAGTCACATACTTAAGAATTCATTCCCTTCAATATTTGCTCACTTTGTGAGCACCTCACATTGACCAGTTACTCTGCCAAGAGCTGTGAATATTTTTTTTTAAAAAGAATACAATATGGGGATCCCTGGGTAGCTCAGAGGTTTGGCGCCTGCCTTTGGCCCAGGGCGTGATCCTGGGGTCCTGGGATCCGTGTCCCGCGTTGGGCTCCCTGCATGGGACCTGCTTCTCCCTCTGCCTGTGTCTTTGCCTCTTTCTGTGTCTCTCATGAATAAATAAAATCTAAAAAAACAAAAAAAACAAAAAACAAAAAACAAAAAAAAAACCACAATATGACCGTGTTCTCAAGATCAAAGTCTAGTAAAGAAACATGTAATCACATAAACACCACTCACTATGAAAGGTGCAATCATAAGAGGAAAGGACACCAAGGAATGAGCAGTCAGCTCAATTTGGGAGGCAAAAGTAGGCTTTTTAGATGATGGATTTGGGGCTTAGATTGATTGGAGAAGTTTATTCCGTATAAGAGAGCAGTATGTGTAAAATACAGAGGTATAAACCAAAATGGTCTGTCTGGGGAACAGTTCATTATGGCTGGAACATAGGGCCCAAGGGAAAGTGGCCACACACAAAACTAGACAGGACTTTCTGGTAAGCATAGGCATTTGGGCTTTATCACACAGGCAATAAGGAATTAATACAGGATTTAAGCAGTAGCATATGGCCAGAGCTGTGTTTCAGAAAGCTCAGTCCTGGCAGTATTGTGGCAGAGGCAGGGAAGAAAATCTAAAGCAGTACTGTTGAATAGAACTTTCTGCAATAATGGAAATGTTCTATCACTCCTGTTGTCCAATATGACAGCCACTAACCACATGTGGCTAATGAAAACTTGAAATGTGACTAGTGCTACTGAGGAACTTAAGAATTTAATATTAATTTAAATAGCAACATGCGCCTAGTGGCCACTATACTGGACAATACAGCTTTAGAGAGAGGGAAATCAGTTGGGAAGCTGTTGATGTAGCTCAGGTGATAGGACTATGACAGAATGTGATTCAGTAAATACTTAAGAGGCAAAATAGTAAGTTTTGTGGGTATAAAGTTGTGTGTGTGTGTGGAAGAACCCAAGAATGGGTTCCTAGATTCCAGGCTTCGTGACTGAATAGCTGCAATTAACCAAGGTAATACAGAAGCAGATCTAGCATGCATAGACTGCATGAATTTTAAACTTGTTTAAGTGCCTGAGAGTTAATCAAGAGGTAATATTTAGTTCCAAGTTTAGCTCAGACAAATCTTTTGAACTTAAGGCTCAGCATGTGTAAAGACACACGTTTAAGAGGCTTAGAGCCATTGAGTGAGATTAGAGAAGATGAACATAACTAGAAGCAAACTAAGGCAAAAATCCTGACAAACATCATCAACCCATTAGAAGAAGCTAGAGTCCACAAAAGAAATGAGCAGTTGGACAAGCAGGAAAAGAAACAGGTGAGAATGGCCACAGAAGGGGCGTCTGGGTGGCTCAGTTGGTTAAGCTTCTGCCTTCAGCTCAGGTCTTGATCCCAGGTCCTGGAATCCAGGCTGTAGTCCCTGCTCTGCAGGGAGCCTGCTTCTCCCTCTCCTGCTTTCCAGGTTTGTGCTCTGTCAAATAAATAAATCTTTAAAAAAAAAAGGAATGACCACAGAAATCAAAGGTGTAGAGAATTCCAGGAAGGAAATATAATCAAATGTCTAATGTTTCAGAGGTCAAATAAGGTGAGAACTGAAAAGTTCATCGTGACTGCCAATCAGGTCCTTGGTGACATCTGCCACAACAGTTTCAATAATGGAAGAAATGGACTGAAGAGTGGGAATGGGGCTTAGGAAAAATTTAGATGATATTTTCAGGTCTTGACTGTGCAGGATAGCTCAGAGTAAATAGTCTACAAGGGAACACAGTATTGGTAGGGTTTTCCTTTTTTGAGGCTGGCAAACCAATACAGGAGGAAAGTTTAAAATACTAATGGGAACGAAATGGAGGATAGCTTTAGAGTGATAGGCTAAAGTTGACCAGGTCTAAAGAAAAGGAATTCCCTTACATCCAAGAGAGGATTTCTAGTACAATACTAAAGGGTTACAGGCAAGGCCCAGTTTATAGGAGGGAGATGGAAAATCCCGAGTCCTCCCGCAGACTGGCTCTTCTGTTCTGTTCTTTTGGTGGGGAATAGGGGTTATGAACTACAGCGAGGATTTGAACCCATACACTGAGGGTCAAGGGAGATTACTGGCTATAAACAAGTAAAATGTCTGCTTTAGGTGGCAACAGAATCACCATAATATCCTTAGATTTTTATGAGATTGATTTAACATTTAGAGAACAGAGGGCGAAGCCTCAGGAAAAAGTAGTTTTAAATGAAATAGAGCACGAGATCAGTAAAGAAGTGAAAGTGATCAGAAGGCTCTGAATTTTGTGCAAGGAATGAGTCGAGGCTGGCAGGCGTCAGTGAAGCGATGAAGTCAGTCTAGGTAGGTTCAGGGGAAGTAAGAGGCTGTAAGGCTGCTTAAGACAAAGATGCCGGAAAAAACGCCCCCATCTACCGTTCTCAGCTCATTTCCCGCCCGCGGCACCAGGAAGGTGATAAACCCCCTTTCCCTTTGTCGAACTACGCCAGGGGAAGGCCGCACCCTGCAAGCCCTCACAGCCTCAGACGCGGGCCCCACGCTCCCTCACTGACAAGAGCTTCGCGGCGCGCGTTTTTTTCTAGACTGTACAGAGCGAACCAAGCGGCAACTTACACCTGAGTAAGAGGAACCAAAGCAGGCCGCCCCCCGGCGAACGGTGAGGCCGCCGATGCTGAGGGAGGAGGGGCCGCTCAGACCAGAGATAAGCGCGTCGCGCCCGCTTCCGCCCCACCCACTGCGCGCGCTCTCAGGCCCAGCAAGGGAGCGGCCGTGCCTCCCGACGCATGCGCTCCGCTGCTCTCCCCCGCCGACTCCAATGCTCCTTTCCCCTCCCCCAATCGGAGCTCACCCTTGCGCCTGCGCAGTGCACGTTCTCGGGCTGTGGCAGCCATGCTGAACCCGTACGGAGAGGCTAGTGGGGGGGACGGGGTCGACGACAGCGGGATAGGAAGCCGGGGATGTGGAGAAGCAGCGGCATTAGAGCGGCCCGGCTCTCTGGAGATAGGTCAGGGCCATGCAGCCTCTTTGGCCTCTTGCGCGACCCCCAGAAGCCTTCGGAAAACTGTTCCTCGTGGGGGGGAGGAGGGACGGCTGGCACGTGACCCGCGTCAGCCAATCTGAGTGTTGCTGACGTGGCGGCGCAGCCCCGACGATCTCCCCACCCCCCCAGCTCACTCGGGAAGGGAGGGGCTGGGGGTTACGCCCCCTCCCCCAACTCAGCTTCGGTGTCCCGGGGGGGTGACACCCCGGATTACGTCCTCTTTCCCCCCTCCCCCCGCACCAAGCCGAGGGGAACGTTGGCTCCCCCCTGGAAGATTCCAGGTTCCAGGTGAGAAGGGGCCCTTGGGGGGGCGGGGATGTTGCTAGTTATTTAAAAGCTTAACCAATGGTGGGGAGTCCGGGGGATAATTCTTGGGGTTCAGCGAAGAACCTGAGGGTGGGAGGGTTTGTCCTTCAAACAGTTTACAGCCAATGGGAGCGTGAAGGGGGGGCGAGCGGGAGAGGGCCCCTCAGATGGGGGAGGGGAATGGCCAACCTCGTGCCTCCGTACCAATTGGAGGGCAAAGGGGCGTGGGGGCGGTGTGTCCCCCCCATTCCATTCGTCCCCTGGGGGTAGAGGAGTCCGGAGCCAGGTGAGGTTTCTTTTTGGCGGCCGGAGGAGAGAGGTGACCTAGAGGGCTGAGGAGTGCGAGTGGTGACCGTATCGCCTACTCTTGGATGTGAATGGGCAACCTAGGTTGTGAACTGAGATTGTTCCCGGGCGCCCACTCCCTGTCTCCCCAGGCTCCGGAAGGAGCGTTTCTGTGCTTTTGTGTCAGCGGTAGGAAGCTCGCAGTCCCCACATGGCATGCTGGAGGTTACGCTTCGAGTCGCTTATCGAGTTTGTGTGCATTCACGTGGACACGGCCTGTGGAGCCTTGTGCACAAACCGTTGCCTCGGCGGGGTCTTAGAAGGCTCAGCATGTGTTACCCCAGGCCGGGGAGGGCTTACAGGCTGAAAGCTTGGGGTTCGCTTGGGAACGGAAGCCAAGCCCAAGGTGGGTGCGGGGAGGGCTGTAAGAAAGCGTGGTTCAGACAGGAGTGAGTGAGTCTTAGGACCTGAAATGATTTCACAGCTCACAAGGTTTCGGGTTTCTCCAGGGTGGCGTCTTCTGCCTCCTCCATCCCCTCCCCCATTCCTGAACAGTTCTCTCCTTGTGTACTGCGGGGGAGGGAACGAAAAGGAGAGAGTTACTTTTCCAAATTCCTGACTAGCTGTTAGCCTCCCCTGTGACTCATGGGGGGGGGGGCGTTGGGAGGGAGCAGGGCGCAGTGATTTTCCGGAATGCGGGAAAGTAAGCCAGAGTAAGGTCTGGCTGCCCTTTCGCTTTCAAAGACCCAGCATTTTCGCTACCTCCTAAGTTTTTCTTCCCGGCCGGCCCCCCTAATGGGCCTCTGCAAACTTGCGAGGCCTCGGGTGGAGAACTGCAGATTTAGGAGGCTGGGCCACTAGGGGGAGGGGGAGGGGGAGGGGTGGGGGGAGGGGAGCAGGCCTCAGCAAAGTTGCTGTGTCATTGCCCTCCCTACTGCAGCCACCCGCGCCATCCCGCATGTACTTGTGGGGCCGAAGCCTGGTCCCTGCGTGGGGGAGCGCGGTGGTACTAGGGGAAGAGGCTTCCCTCCCGGTGTGCACTTCTCCCCGCAGGGTTTGCCCGACCGGGCTGGTCGAGAAGACGTGAGGTTGGCGGCCATTTTAGACGCAGTGACCGAGGTTAGGGCTCAAGAGCTCCTGCGAAAGGAGGGTGATGTGGTCGGAGCGCAAGGACCTAGGCCCTCACGAGCCTTTCCCGGGTGGAGGTGGAGGTGGAGGCGCTTACGTTCGTTGATTTACATTAATTTCCTTTCTCAGATATGCAGTCAGTTTTCTATCTTCGTATCCAGAGAAGGGGAGCTGGAGAGGGAGACCTCCCGCTAAAGCCCAGGTTGGGGATAATTCTCCCAGAAGGGGTGCGGGGGTTGGGCGGGGGGCCCAGAGACGGCTCGAGAGATCCGCGTCTTGCATTCTCGATCTTGACTCCAACATAGTCTAGCCCTGTGCGGGTAACCGAATTGTGGGGAAGAGTTAGTGAGTGGGTTGGGGGAGGGGGCGAGACTGAGCTCCCAAAATGGCTCCTGCCCCTCCTCGGAGGCGGACAGCCCGGGGGGAAGGGGAGGAGGGGAGAGAAAGGAGGGGGAGGGTTAATCTGAGCTGCAGCCGCCGCCTCCGCTCGCCCTCCTCCCTGGCGCTGACCGATGGACCAGCCGCTCCGTGGGGAGGACTCCGGACCCTCGTGGGGGGATGGGGAGCCCTGCCGCCCCCGAGGCGGAGGGACCCTAAGAGGGGGGATTCGGGCCTGCCCTTGGGGTTGGGGAGGGCCGGGAGCTTGGGAAGAGGTCTGAGCTCATCAGAGGGGACCTCGCAGAACTTGTTTTTTCGGCTCTGAGCCGGGCACCGGAATGAAGTTTGGGGCGGAGGTGGGTTTCATTTTACAGAGAAATGGGTAGGTTTGGAGATTTTGCTCTCACTTTAGGGCTGGTGGGATTTTGCCGAGCAGGCGGATACTTTATGGGCAACTGTGAAGGGATTGGGGAAGTGCTTGGGTGTGCGTTTGGGGAATATCCTAGACTTGGTTGTCTTGTGGGTAAGCTAAGCCTTTGAGAGCCCGTGGATTCTTTGTGCCTTTGTCTTCCGATTATTTGACCTGGGGAAAGGGAAGGATGTTTTTAGACTGCAGCAGGCCTGTATTTTTTATTGTGGAGCTCGGGAACGTTCGATCCTTTTGCTACGTTCGGGAGCCCTTAATTCTCCGCCAGAGAGCAGGCCGCGGCTTCTAAGATGGCGTCTTCTTCCTCCTTTCAGATTGCTCACAGCAGCGGCCTCTTCGCCGAGAATCACCGCCCGCCAGGCGTCCTGCGGCCACACCCTGGCGGGCCCCGGCTGGCTACGCCCACGCGGCCCTTTCAGTCCCGTCGGCCTGGCCAATGGAGGATCTGCAAATGTCACGACCTGCCCGGGCTTGGCAGTCGCCGGTCGCACCGGGCCTGGACGCCTGGGAAGACTTTATTGGAAGGGGAGGCGGGGAGAAGGCGCTGCACCCATGCCAGCCTCTCTCCCTGGAGTCGTCGAACCACAGCGCAGCCAATTGGCTCAGAGATGTGGCGGTTTGCCGGTTCCCTATGGGTCTATGCGGTACTCTTCTGCCTAGTGACTGACACCTTGGAAATGAAGCCTATGACGTCATCGCTCCAGCAAACCAATAGGAAACGCTCCCGCGGAGAGGTGTTCCGCCCCTTTCGACTCTGCTTCTTCAGGCGCGTGAGCGAGCGTGCGCGCGCGGAGGGGGTGGGGGAAATCTCGAACACGGTGGCGCGCATGAGCGGCGAAGCTCCTCCTCCCTGCCTATATATAAAGGGCTGGCGCGGGGCTCGGCGGCGCCATTTCGCGCTGGAGTGGAGCATCCTCTAGAACGAGCTGGAGGATTCTGCCTACTGATAGCCTTCGAGTCGTCGGGGGCCGCCATTGCAATCCACGTCCATCCGTTTGGAAATGGCCTTCGTCTCGGCCTATGACCGGTCCCGGCGGACAGTACAGACCCCATAGAAGCCCCCGACGCTCCCCTTTTTCGGGCCCCGCCCAATCCTCGGAGTCTGTCCACCCCCTCTACTCCGCCCTCAAGAGGATTTCAAAGATGGAGGCGGCGGCTCCCTAAACCACTTTTCGTGTTCATCCGCCTCCATCCGAGATCGAAACGGGACCTCGTCCGCTGCGGGCAGTCCCAGCAGGAAGAGGGGATTCTTGCAGATCAACAGCGGGCAGTATTGACGACGGTGTCCGGGATTGGGGGCCGTCCTAGTGTTTGAGGAGTCCGTCCCCCCTTGCCCGCCTCTGCTGAGGCCGCCGCCATTTTCTCGCTGTCCGCCTCCCGCGGAGCGCGCCAAGCTGCTGGGAGATCTCCGAGAAGCAGCGGAGAAGACTGCTTTCGTGCCGGCCCGACGGGGGCGGGAGTTGTCGACTGGAGGGCCAAGGGCAGGGGCCCTCCACCCCCCCACTTCCCGGGTTATGCTGGACCGGGCGGTAAGGGGAACCGAGGCCACCCGGACTTTACGCGGCTGAGGGCAGCGCCGGTTCCCCGTGGTCAGGATGCTGCAAAACGTGACTCCCCACAGCAAGTAGGTTCTCGCGATCCGCGTGTGGGAAGATGTTGGGGGCTGCGGCACGGGGACGTGGAGCGTCGGGTTCGGAGGGAGGACGGAACCGACTCGGGGCTCGTTGCTATTCCATGGCGCGACTGTTGGCTTGGGGGCTCGCGGAGGGGGTTGGGTGACGGTTTTGGAACGGTGGTCGAGGGCCAGGTACTGCGTATGGAGGGAGTACAGGTTGTCCATTAATACGTTACTTTTCTCGCCGTGGTCCAGTCTAACCTAGTCGAACAGAGCTGGGTTGGCGGCGGAATGTAATGGAAAAGGACAACGTTGAGTGGGTAGCCGGTCCTGCAGGTGGTGGGTCTGGTGTGTAGCAACGGTTTATCATAGGTCTTTCAGGGTGTTGAGGGGCCACATCAAGCACCTTATAGGGTTGCCATGGTGATAGAGCCTGACTGGCGACGGAGATGGCCAGAGTGGGGCAAAGGGATTACTTTTAGTCTATGGGTTTGTGTGTCCAGCCTAGGTCATTGAGTTTTCTTTCAATGACTGAGTCAGTTTTGTGTTGAGGGTTTGTTTGCATGCGTTCTCTTTGGAGGGGATGTTTTGGATAGCTCTGAGAGTTACATTCGGGGCAGGAGGGTGGAGCTAAGGATTTTAGTCCAGCTCTGCAGATGTAAACAATGAGATCTCCCATGTAGTGTTTGTAGTCCTGGGCCCTGGGATACCCCTGGTCGTGACTAGTAGAGAGAATGTAAGTTTGAACCACTTTGGCTGTCGATTCCCAGAGTCTGGTGGTAGAGTGGGAGCCGTTAATGTAATTTTTTTGGCGGGGTGGTGGGTGGTCCATCACTATCCAGCTGAAATGTGCTGACCTTGACTGGGGACTGGGCCGGGTCTATTTTTGAGTCTTTTGGAGGAGGGAGAGGAATTCGAGTAATTTCTGGGGTCTGGCAGTTGGATTATTCCAGGCCCTGAAGTCTGACAAATGCCCCCCTTGTCTCAAAATATGTTGGTAAGGTTTTCCGTTAGGTTTCTGATTCATTCTCTACTAAAAATTAAACAGAGCTTGTGGGGTGGATGATGGTGTGTTCTCTTGTGCCCAGATGGATTCTTAGGTGTCTCATCAGCATTTTGTGAAATTTGCTTCCTATTTTGTTCCGCTTTTCACTCGTTTCCCTCAGGCTCAACCACCATGGCAACCACCAAGCCCCTAGTGAGGAGGAAGCTTGGGCCTTGTGCTTCTTTGCTCCACCCATTTTGCTTAAGTCCCATCCTGTAAAGCTCCTGGTTCGTAGATGCTTTGCTGTTATTCTATATGAGAAATTGTCTTGGGGCCTTACTTTCAAAGAAGTGATTAAAAAATAAATAAGTAAGTAAATAAATAAATAATAAAGCTTGTCAGAGTCTGTAAGGTGGAATCTGGATAAGTACTCAACAGGGAAATAAAAAGTGGGGGAGGGGCAAGAACAAAATCTCCACAGATTGTTGGGATATACTGGCTGTGGTTAAGATCCACTTCCGTAAGCTTGATTGTTTCTCACCAAATTCAAAACCTGGATTTATTGAATATGTAGTATAAGTGGCAGTACTGATTTTCATAAAATTACAACATCTAATTATGTCTCCCATTTCACAGGCTCCCTGGGGAGGGGAATGCAGGGTTACTGGGGCTGGGCCCAGAGGCAGCAGCGCCAGGGAAAAGGATTCGGAAGCCCTCTCTGTTGTATGAGGGATTTGAGAGCCCTACAATGGCTTCAGTGCCAGCTTTACAACTGACCCCTGCCAACCCACCACCCCCGGAGGTGTCCAATCCCAAAAAGCCAGGACGGGTTACCAACCAGCTTCAATACCTGCACAAGGTGGTGATGAAGGCTCTGTGGAAACATCAGTTTGCATGGCCCTTTAGGCAGCCTGTGGATGCCGTCAAACTGGGTCTGCCGGTGAGTAGGGATACTGGAGTCGGGAGGTATTGGGAATGAAGAAGAATGTGTGTGAGTGGAGGTGGGCTGCTTAGTATAGGTGCTGCGGCCCCTAGGGAGTTCCCATCTCTCTCCTGTAGGGCAGGTAGCCACCAGATATCTGGATTCTTGGTCCTTTGTGATTATTGATCCAACCGCTTGCTATCTTGGCATCTCTCATTGTGCCCCCTCCATGTGTCCTTCCTTAACTTTTGTGCCCTGGCTCCATTTTACAGATTCCCACCCCAGGTTGGGAGAGGACCACGGTGGCCAAAATTCTTAGCTTCTTCCTCTCCCTCATGCAGCCCATGGATAGCCAGCCCCAGAGGTAATGTTTCAGGATGGGAAACCTTGCAGAGTGGGTGGGAGATGGGTGGTTAGGGAAAGGCATAGATAGGGGCCTCCAACCGGGTGTTAAGAATCTCGTTCCATTTTTTTTCTCTGTCCTTAGTTTAATTGGGGCCGCAGTTTAGGGGAGTACATATTTTGCATAGGGGATGTGTATGTGTGTGTGTGTTTGCTGGAGTCAGTAGTTTATCTAGGAAAACTGGCATTTTCAGTGACTGATCTAGCGTTTCTTTCTTTAGGATTATCACAAAATCATAAAACAGCCTATGGACATGGGTACCATTAAGAGGAGACTTGAAAACAACTATTACTGGGCTGCTTCAGAATGTATGCAGGATTTTAACACCATGTTCACCAATTGTTACATCTACAACAAGGTGAGTTTTTTTATATGTGTTTATTAATAGATGGAGAGAGTGCTTATGTTATTGCTTATTTTGTTGGTATAATGTTTGAAGGTGTTCTCAAAGTAGGTAGGATCTAGAAAATCTAAGCTCCAAAGGATACCCCTGAGCACAGTGATGGGATGTGGCTTCAGAAATCTGAAGTTGAAGGTTATTTAAGTAGAACATTTTCATACTTGGGGATGATGACCCTCTTTCTCAAAAGAAATCTCCAGAGAGAGATTTTTGCTGAGTAGAGCCGAATGTATTCTCCTTGAGAGTCTCATTCCCTTACATTTGAACTTTTATTATTTACTGCATATTGATGGACAATTGGGGGCATATGGAGATAAGTGGCCCAACCAGTGTGGTGGTTCTTAGTACTTATGACAAAGTTGGAGAGGTGATGGTAGTATTTGGACCTAGGAATAGGAATGCCTTTGAGAAAACTGGTGTGTCTGCCTTTAACTGGCATTTGAATCTTTTTGTTTCCTATAGCCCACTGATGATATTGTCCTGATGGCACAAACATTGGAAAAGATCTTCCTACAGAAAGTGGCATCGATGCCACAAGAGGAACAAGAGCTTGTGGTGACCATCCCTAAGAACAGCCACAAGAAGGGGGCCAAATTAGCAGGTAGGAAGAGCCGCAGTTTTCCTAATGGAGATAAGATGGGGAAAGATAAAAAAACTAATCTTTTTTTTCCTCCCCCCTCCCCCCCCCAGCACTCCAGGGCAGCATCACCAGTGCCCACCAGGTGCCGGCTGTTTCTTCTGTGTCTCACACAGCTCTATATACTCCACCACCTGAGATACCTACCACTGTCCTCAACATTCCCCACCCATCAGTCATCTCTTCTCCCCTTCTCAAGTCCTTACACTCTGCTGGACCCCAGCTCCTTGCCGTCTCTGCAGCTCCCCCAGCCCAGCCCCTTGCCAAGGTACAGATGTGTGGATTTCTTTGGGCAGTGGGAAGGGAAAGGTCTTGGATGAGGTGGACCCTAAAAGGCTCACATCTTGTTTTTCTCTACAGAAAAAAGGCGTAAAGCGGAAAGCAGATACTACCACACCTACTCCTACAGCCATCCTGGCTCCTGGTTCCCCAGCTAGCCCCCCTGGGAGTCTTGAGCCTAAGGCAGCACGTCTTCCCCCTATGCGTAGAGAGAGTGGCCGCCCCATCAAGCCCCCACGCAAAGACTTGCCTGACTCTCAGCAACAACACCAGAGCTCCAAGAAAGGAAAGCTGTCGGAACAGTTAAAACATTGCAATGGCATTTTGAAAGAGTTGCTCTCTAAGAAGCATGCTGCCTATGCCTGGCCTTTCTATAAACCAGTGGACGCTTCTGCTCTTGGCCTGCATGACTACCATGACATCATTAAGCACCCCATGGACCTCAGCACTGTCAAGGTACCCACTGCATGGGGCAGATGGGATGCTCAGGCAGTGATTGGAACTTTGGGTTCAATAAAACAATCAGTGACTTCTTACAGGCACACGGCAATCTTGATTCTTGGTATTTTATTTTTATAAAAAACGGGACAGGAGGTTAAGTACTTGATAATAGTATTTTTTGGGAGTTGAAAACTGTATGGTGAGTTTTGTTTTCAAAGCAATACTAATGTCTAAGTGCTACTTAGGAGAATTGGGTTAGGGGAGTAAGGGGTTGGAAGGATAGGCCACCCATCCACCCCTATCACTTAGAAATGGTTTTTTTTTCTAGACATAGATATTTCTTCAACCCACCCAAATTCCTTTGACTTCACACTTGAACCCCAGGGCATAGATCTTTAAGGTCATCCCTACTGTGCTCTCAAGAGAGGGCTACTCTTGCGGTGTCTGGGGTTGGCAGGGAAAGGTGAGTCTTCCTGCCTGTGCAGCTTCTGATGCTGCCTCCTTCTGCAGCGGAAGATGGAGAATCGTGATTACCGGGATGCACAGGAGTTTGCTGCTGATGTGCGGCTTATGTTCTCCAACTGCTATAAGTACAATCCACCAGACCACGATGTTGTGGCCATGGCACGAAAGCTACAGGTGAGTGTCACAGTTGGAATTTGAAGAACAAATGAGTCTGGGGTAGGGAGCTTTTTGTCCTCTGCTGTACCACCTTATTGTGAGGTTCTGCCAGTATATACAGTTTGTAAATTGGAGCTGTACCATAACACTAGGTGGCTGGGTGTAATGGGGGGACCATTCACTAGTGTAGTTCTGAGGATGCCTTTTTCCCTAGGATGTATTTGAGTTCCGTTACGCCAAGATGCCAGATGAACCACTGGAACCAGGGCCTTTACCAGTCTCTACTGCCTTGCCACCTGGGTTAGCCAAATCCTCTTCAGAGTCCTCCAGTGAGGAAAGTAGCAGTGAGAGCTCTTCTGAAGAAGACGAGGAAGAAGACGAAGAAGAGGAGGAGGAAGAAGAGGAGAGTGAAAGCTCGGACTCCGAGGAAGAAAGGGCTCATAGACTGGCTGAACTACAGGAGCAGGTATCTTGTCACTCGGTTTATTTTGTGAAGTTGTTTATTTTGCCCTAATTTTTCTTTTTTACTCCTTTTATTCTGCTTTATTTTTCTGATTGTACATCTGAATTTTTGGTCTCCAGCTTAGGGCAGTACATGAACAACTGGCTGCCCTGTCCCAAGGCCCAATATCCAAGCCAAAGCGGAAGAGAGAAAAAAAAGAGAAAAAGAAGAAACGGAAGGCAGAGAAGCATCGAGGCCGAGCTGGGGTTGATGAAGATGACAAGGGATCTCGGGCACCCCGCCCGTCTCAGCCCAAGAAGTCCAAGAAAGCGAGTGGCAGTGGGGGTGGCAGTGCTGCTACACTAGGCCCCCCTGGCTTTGGACCTTCTGGAGGAAGTGGTACCAAGTAAGTTATAAGAGAGTAGGAAGCAGAGACCAGCTTGACTATTACTATAACCTCAGGGTGGGGTGTGTGTGTGTGTGAAGTTTTTTATCTAAGCCAGAGGTCAACAAATGTTTAATTGGCAAGGTAACAAGTACTGATTTTGAGAACTGTAGAGTTCCAAAGTTAGTTCACCCTGGTGGAATAATGCAAAAGCAGCCATAGATGTTATGGAAGCATGGGTTTAGAATTATTCTAATAAAACTTTATTTACATGAAAACTAGTGACTAGCCAGATTTGTCTTCTAGTTTGTCTATTCCTTCTCTCTGCACCAATAAATGTGTAGTTTTTCTTGTTTTCCACAAGTAGTAGTTTAGGGAACAAAAAGATGAGTTTCTGTCAGTATACCAACATCTAGTTCTCAAAGCCCAAAATAAATGTAAAGTGCTTGGCATGTGAGAAGGTCTGTTTTCCTTAGGAATTTTCTAGTATCTCAACTCTAGTTGGCTCACCATTACCCTTGTGGGAAAACTGAAGCTTCACTCTGGCAGGAAATTAAGACTTCTGGATTTAAATAGTGGGAATGTGTCGGGAGAGATAGTGATGCTTCCCTAATTGATAATTTTTTGCCTATATAGACTGCCCAAAAAGGCCACAAAGACAGCCCCACCTGCCCTGCCTACAGGCTATGATTCAGAAGAGGAGGAAGAAAGCAGACCCATGAGTTACGATGAAAAGCGACAGTTGAGTTTGGACATCAACAAACTACCTGGGGAGAAATTGGGTCGAGTTGTGCACATAATTCAGGCCAGAGAGCCCTCTTTGCGTGACTCAAACCCAGAAGAGATTGAGATCGATTTTGAAACCCTCAAGCCATCCACCCTTAGAGAGCTTGAGCGATATGTCCTTTCCTGCTTACGAAAGAAACCTCGAAAGCCCTATAGTGAGTATGAAATGACCCTTTAGCACATTAATCCGGCAATCCTCAAGTAATTCTGAGGACAGTGCAGAAGAGGGTACTAGGGTATGCTTGCAGTCCTGATTGTCCACTTCTGAAGGTGTGGGGATTTGTTGGTTTCCTGATCAGGAAAGGAACTTTGCTGAAGGGAAACGGGGGGGGGGGGGGGGGGGGGATTAGGAAGACAAACCGTGAGAGACTCCTGACTGGAAAACAAAGGATTGCAGAAGGTGTGGGGGGGGCATAGGGTGACTAGGTGATGGGCACTTTATGGCAATCCTTAGACCTGGAATGTTTCTTACTCTAGCCATTAAGAAACCTGTGGGAAAGACCAAGGAAGAGCTGGCTTTGGAAAAGAAGCGAGAACTAGAAAAGCGATTACAAGATGTTAGTGGGCAGCTCAATTCCACCAAAAAGCCCCCCAAGAAAGGTAAGTATTCCTGTAAGGTACTATAGATTCACCACATCCCCCTTTCTTGACTCTTTCCTTGACAAACGGAGATCAGACTTGTACAATTTACCCTTCAATTTTGTTACGCAGCAAGTGAGAAAACTGAGTCCTCGTCGGCGCAGCAAGTAGCAGTGTCACGCCTCAGTGCTTCCAGCTCCAGCTCAGATTCCAGCTCCTCCTCATCATCATCCTCTTCTTCAGACACCAGTGATTCAGACTCAGGCTAAGGGGCCAGGCCAGATGGGGCAGGAGGCTCCGCAGGACCGGACCCTTATACCACCCTGCCCCGCCCCTCCCTCCCCCTTTGCTGTGATACTTCCTCATCTCCTCCCCCCTCCCTCCCACTGTAGGAGAGCTGGCTCTGCAAGGGGGAGGGGTGCAGGGACATTTACTGAAGGAGGGACCTAAATGGACAAAGTAAGATGGAGTTCCCAGCCCCATTGAGAGTGACCTCTTGGGCATAGAGCCCCCATTCGAAATGACTGGGGTGGGGCACGGGTACAGGGTGAGAGTGGGCAAAGGCCCTGATCCAGGGTTAACCTGAGGCCATAGCTGCCCTGTTCACTTGTAAAAGCCCTGTTTTGAGGTTGTTTGTTCTAATTTATTTTAAGCTAGGTAAGTCTGAGGGGTGTGGGGCCATGGTCCCCTCGGCCTCCATGGGGAGGGAAGAAGGGGGAGCTCTTTTTTTACGTTGACTTTTTTTTCTACTCTGTTTTCCCTTTTCCTTCTGCTCCATTTGGGGCCCCTGGGGGTTTCAGTCATCTCCCCATTTGGTCCCCTGGGTTGTCTTTCTTTGTCTGTTGATTCTAACTTGTAAATAAAGAAAATATTATTCAAATTTTGAGTTACCTTAATAATGTTTGCTTTGTAGTGTTTCAAAAGGAACGTAATAGAGTATTGAGGAAAATATTTTTGAAGTGAGGAAAGGGGAAGAGACATCTTGTGGTTGGATTGCCTTGTTACCCCAGTAGTAGGCTGTTGGCTGTGCTAAGTCAGTTCATCTACTTTTTGTAAAGTGAATCCTAAATAACACTCAGGTTCATGGTTTGTTCTGGTTTAGTTTTTGGTTTTGTTGTAAGATTCATTTATTTAAAGAGAGCACAACAAAAAAAATAATAAAAGCACAAGTGGGACGGGCAGAGGAAGAGCAAATCAATCCTAAGCAGACTCCACACTGATTACCAAGCCTTGACTTAGGCTCAGTCTCCCAACCTGAGCTGAAACCAAGGGGTGCTTAACCAGTTGCACCGCTTAAGTGCCCCTGGTCTGGTTTAAATAGAGGAAAAGCTAAGGTGTCTGGCTCATTTGATACTTTCATCAAGTTTAGGATTCAAGGTTTAAGATGGGTTCTGAGGTTTTTTCCTTTACATAAAATTCTGTATGGATTGTCTCCTGAACACACTTGAACCAAATGTGAATAGAATGAAAACTAACCACAATAGCAGGTGTTTTTGTGTTCTGCATCTGACTTGAGAAGGCAGTTGTGCTTACTTTTATAAGCTTTGGCCTCAAATTCCAGATTTATGGCCCTCGGGCACGGTACATTAATAGAACACAATACAGCAATTTTTTGCCAAATCCAGATCATAATTCCTCTCCATAAATTTAACCCCTTGTCTTGCTGAGGAAAGACTAGTTCAGGGAACTGGGACACGTGGGTTCTGGAACTGGGGACTTAAAAGACATTATAGCTTAGTATAACAGGCCACTGCAAAAAAATGAACTTGGAAGTGTAAGGGCTAGGAATTGGGTTTTGTTTTTGTTTTTTTTTTTTTTTTAACTTATTTAAGATTTATTTATTCAGAGAGGCAGAGACAGGCAGAGGGCTCCATGCAGGAAGCCCGACATGGGACTCGATCCTGGGTCTCCAGGATCACAGCCTGGGCTGCAGGCGGCGCTAAACCACTGCACCACCGGGGCTGCCATAGGAATTGATGTAGAGAAAATATTCTGCTCTGAATAATGTTGCCAGAAAGGAGAAAGTACAGGGTGGAATCTGATTTGGAGATGGTAGTAAAGATTTTGGGATCAATAAATTGGACTGTAGCAGGGATTCTCAACCCTTACCACATGTATTAGGGCTCCATTAAAGCTTTTTAAAAATACTGCAGTAATTTCAACTTTCTGTCTTTATGAATTCTAAGTTGAGGCTTGGGCAATAACTACCCAAAAGTTCAGGAGATGGTAATATCTCACCAGGGTTGAGAACCACTGAAGTGTTTTTGGAAAGCCCTTAGCTTGAAAAGGGACAAAGAACCCTCAGTTGGGCTTTTGGGCCAACTTAACTGTACAATTCAGAGAATGAATCTTGGAACTTTTGAGCTCTGATCTTGAAGAATGATAGAAAAGATTGAGGGTGTTTTTGTGGCTCAGGCATCTAACTTCAGCCCAGGTTATAATCCCAGGGTCCTGGGATCAAGCCCTGCTTCCAATCCCTGCTCGTGGGGAGCCTGCTTCTATCCCCTGCTAGTTCTCTTACTCTCTAAAGTGAAATCTTTAATTTAAAAAAAAAAAAAAAAAAAAAAAAAAAAAAAAAACTTGGCATACTTTTAATAGAATTAGTTATGGGGGTGGAATAAAATCTAAAAAGGAGTAACATGATTTGTTAGAGGCATGTATATAATATGTCCAGGATTATATCTCATTTCAAAAAGAATACAAAGTGAGTTGGATTGGTTGAGGGTGGAGGCTAGCTGCAGAATCTTAAGGTAGTATGGCTGTGTCTCCTTGCATTCGTGTACTCTTAAGACTAGTCTGGGAAAGTGAATTTCAACTATCAAAATGGGAGTTTCTGATGTCTTTGGCAGCTCCTTAGTAGAAGTATAACCTGAACTGGGAACAAGTGCTGTCAGAATGGGCAGATTGGCTCATCCCCTTGACTGCAGAACCACTTGAGAAGGAAAGAGTTTCCAGACCTGTGTTAGACTTCCTACTCTGCCATATCAGGCCATTTTCAAGTGTACATGGATTTCCTGAGACTCAAAATTTTTTGGTAGAGTCCTTGCTGTGGTCTCTGACCCATAGTTTGGTAAATCTGTCCTTTGATTTACTTTCTCCCCTCAGTTGAATTTTTGCTGGTCCAAGCCCCAGCTTTATCCCATACACTTTAGGCATGGTAATAGTTTTGAAGAGGCAGAGTGGTAGCTTGGTTCAGATTCCTGTCTTCCAAAGTAACCAATCTGTAGCCTAACAGGACACAAATGTGGAGTCCTGTGGGTATCCCTCCCATGTTCTTCCCAGCTCCTGAAATCATGGGTTCCACTGCCTCTTAGGCCATTTGCTCTAATGTCTCCTGTGGGAGTTTTTTTAATCAGTCAACACATTTTACAGAGTTCCTGGGTTGCCTTTTATTTTAACAACCAGGTCAATAGACCAGACACGGCTAAGCTCTGCCAAGTCGAGCATGGGGTTGAAAATTAGAGCACAAGCCCTGCCCTCAAGAAGCTTGCTCTGTCAAAGTTGAACTCTTAACACGATCCATATATGGTGCTGATGGTCTCCAAGATAAAGGCATGAACTGGTCTTCCCAGACACTTCCTGCTTATTAGAGTATGCCAATGTGTGGATCCCAGTCTCCACCCCTGCCAACCTTGCTCTCAGAACTATCTTGATTGGAGTTATTCTCCTGGTCTGGCCCAAAATCACCTTGAGAGAGGTGTTCCTGAGCAGTGAGAGGAACTGGTAGAGTTGGGTAGGGGATGGGAATGGTGGTAGGGAACTGAACTGATGTCTCTGTGTGGGAGGACAACATTAGGTAATCACAGTTTTTAAGAAAAAGTGTACTTCTAGCCTCACACAAGTAAAGGTTTTTATGAGCTTAGATTTATAGATTTATTTATTTGTTTATTTTTGAGCTTAGTTCTTATTCTGAGATCTCTCATCAGATCTGTTCTGACAGATTTCAGAAGGATGAAGTGTTAGGCTATATCCAGGAGGAAGGGGAGCAAATGAGGCCTGCAGAAAAAATAGTGGAGGTAAACTGCAGAATGCAGGCAGTGCTGAAGCAGGAGTGAAAGGGTGAGTGCTTCTAGGTAAGACCAGAAAGGCAGAACTAGACCAAGGAGAGCAGTTAGCCATGATAAGGATTTGAATTTTTATCCAAGACTTTAATCACAGCTCACATTTAATTGAGTACTGACTATGCCAAACAGTATGCACAACTCATTTTGTCTTTTTTTTTTTTTAAGAGTTTATTTATTTATGAGAGACACAGAGAGACAGAGACTCAGAGACACAGGCAGAGGGAGAAGCAGGCTCCATGCAGAGAGCCTGATGTGGGACTTGATCCCAGGTCTCCAGGATCACGTCCTGGGCTGAAGGCAGCGCTAAACCGCTGAGCCACCAGGGCTGCCCTCATTTTGTCTTCATTATAGTCCTATGAAGTAGATCTAATCTCCAACAGATGAATGAGGCACAGACAGGCTAAGGAACTCCCCAAAGTTGCAACACAGCTGGTCAGTGCTGGGGTGGGACTCAAGTCCAGCAATCTGGCTACAGGAAATACTACCCTGGAATTCCAGTACAACAGGCTGGTAGGGTCCTCACATCCTTTGAAAAAATTGCAGTGAGAAGGATCATGTTGAGTTGGTGGGGTGTCGAGAAGGGATGGAGAGTGATTATTTAGAAAGCAGTTCCTACAAATGAGCATGGTGGTTTGGAATGGAGAGGCAGCAATGGAGGTGAAAAGTAGGTAAGTTTGAAAACTGTAGGAGATAGAACACATGGGACTATTCTCCACACACCACAGGAAGAGCAGTTGTGAATAGCTCCGTATTCCTTGGAGTCCAGAGTTTTCCAGCCCTGGAAGTTTGACATTTTGTTAACTAAAGGAATGCCAGCTGGCTGACTGGCAAGAGTGAAGGAAACCCCGCAAGGCTGCCCCTGGAGGGTTGGGGTGGGGGGTGCTGGGTTTCCGAGGCATTTGTTGAGCGTCCCAGAGGGTCTTTGGCGCCACCTGGTGAGCATGGTGCCCAGGACCTCGTGGATATTTCAGGTAGTATTGTGCGTACCTTCTCATCTTTCAGTTCTTACTTCCCTGTACTTCAACTTTTGAAACATCAGCCTCACTTTATGACCAGGAGGTCTTTATCTCTCTCGGCCTCTGAGGCATCCCATGTGGCTTCGCCTGGCTCTCTCACTTTTCAGGCAGCCTCTCTTAGTTTGCTTCTCAAAAGTCTCTACCTCCACCTTCCATGAGATGTTGTCATCCTTCATGTTCCCTTCCTTGGTCCTCTTCTTATTTGCACATTTCTAATCAATTCTACCCATTCTTCTGGAGGCAATTCCCACCCATACAATCTGTCTCTGTCCAGACCTTGCTCCAAAGTTCCAAGTCTGTTTTCAACTGCCAAATAGCAATGTTCCAGGAGCACCTGGCACTCAGCACATGTCCAACAACGATCCCATCCTTTCCCACATAGATGCCTCTGTGAGTTACCTGTTTGTGGAACAAGCAATCATACAAAACGCACTAATGTCCTGGACACTTCTAAGGGCCCTTGCCGTCAAGTCCTTCCAAGAACACTAGGACTTAGGTACCCAGCACACTTTTATAGATGAGGACACAGAGCTGTCCAGGAACAGTTCTACAGTAAACAAGTGGCACAGCCAGGATTATTAATGTACCACCATTCCCTTAGTCACTGGAGCCAGAGCCTGGTGATCAGTCCAGATTTCTGCCCCTCACTCTCCCCTTCTCTGTTCACCCATCAAGGCGTGTGGAGCCTTCCTCCATCACTTCTCTCCTATCAGTATGCCCCCCTCAGGCTGGACTATCACAACTCCCTGCTCACCAGTCTTCTGTCCAGTCTCATTTCCACTATCCATCCCCTGTGCTAG